CCTTTTTAAATGTAAACATTTCTAAATATTAAAGCATATCTGACTTCAGAGTTTTAAGAACTTGTCGACCTGTGTCATTGTTAGTCATTGTGCTGCTTTGTGACATGGAGTGAAAGCACTCACGGATGTATGCTATTTGGAAAATACACAGTAGTACAAATGTGTAAAAAACCCTATGGTTTTTGCAAATTAATGTTTTGCAAATTAATGGTCATAAAATAACTCAGTGGGCAGTGACCATAATTTTTTAAATGCAGTAGAATAAAAGAGACTAGAAGACATCCAGTACTATGTTGCAAGAGTAAGTATTGCTCATGAAGCTTTTGTTTAGTTACCATGTGTATGCATAGTCATGACACATACTGTCTTCCTTACTGTGGGTCAAGGTTAAAAACTTAAGAAATATTGTTGTTACAGAATAGCCAGTTTTAGAGGCAGACTCACCTGGATTCAAATCCTAGAGATGATAATGAGAAATCCCAGAAGCACTGCCCTGTTTATTCAGTTAGAGAGATACATTTATTCTGTCAACAATACTTAAAAGCACCTACCATACAGCAGGCACTGTGCTGGTGCTAAGACACAGCAGTGACCAAGATGGAAGGTCCAGTTGCAGAGTTACTTTGTAGGCTCTGAAGCACAACGAAAATGTGGGACTGGTAGTTTTAGTAAATACAGTTTTCATTGTGATTCCTGCAGGAGACTCACTTTGGGACTTAATCCTACTTCTGGATATTTTCAGGGCTCATCCGGCATGGCCAGGGAATCAGCCATAAGAGGAAGGAAACTTTCTCGTAGCTCCCTTGTTCTTCCTGCAGCCTTGCCAGCCAGAAACATGGAGGGGAAGGAATGAGCTTAAAAGAGGCCATTGGGATCCAGTAGACCCTCACGCTACAACTGAGGTGAGTTGAGCCTGGGAAACTGGCCTTCCGTTGTTCTGGGTTTTCTGTCCATGGTGGCTCCCAAGCAGTCTTTTTAATATAAAACTCTCTTGCTGTTGTCTTTTGCTTGGTACCCTTCCGGGAATCCCTGTTGTTTACAGGATAAATTTTAGGTTTCTCAGCCCGTTCCCACATGATCTGGTTTTGCCCACCTCCTCAGCATCTGCTACCATTTACCCAGACAACCAATATGTCCTTTTGGGTTGTGGTAAAATATTACACTGTATATTCCAGCTTCCTGGCCTTTGCTCAGTGTACCTCCTGCTAGAATACCCTGCCTCCTTTTCTGTCTGTAATGTCTTTAACAGCCTTCAAGACCCAGCTTAGTGTCTCCCCACCCTGCCTTCCTAGGCAGAGTCAACGCGTACCTGCTATGGCCTCCCATAGACCCCTGCTGCCTCCATTGTAGCGCAGATCCACCTAGATTTGGTTATCTCTGTGCGTGTCAGTCAGCCCCACCAGAGTAGATGCTCCTCAAGGACAGGAACTGATTGGGTTCATCTCTGGGTACCCAAGGCCCAGCACAGGCCTGGCACACACGAAGCCTTGTGAGGTGTTTGTTGAGTGAATGAATGCATGAAACCATTTCTCTACTAATAAATATCTGCTGTCCTTAATGATCCAACTTGAAAGTCCTCTCCAGTAGGCTTTCCCTGTCAGGCAACATCCTCCCTCCCCCCCATGCCACACAATCTTCTTGATGCAGAATATATAGAGCATATTTCATTAAAATCCCAGCATGGTGTGGAACAGGCAGCATTTCCTAACTGAACACTTTAACATTCTACAGAGAAAGATGTAAATATACATTCTAGACTCATGGCTGTAATACCAACATTTCGTGAGGCCTTAGTTTGATATTAGCCTGGGCAATATACCAAGACTTTGTCTCTACAAAAAAACAGGACGTTAGCTGGGCATGGTAGCATGTGCCTGTTGTTCCAGCTACTCAGGAGACTGAGACAGGAGGATCACTTAAGCTCAGGAGTTTGAGGTTGCAATGATCGATAATAATGCCACTGCACTCTAGCCCAGGCAACAGACTGACACCTTGTCTCAAATAAATAAACAAACAAATAAATAAATATTTATTCTAGGTAGGCCATTAAAGGTTATAAATGCCCTGTAGCAGTTCAGGTCAAGTATGGACACCAAATTTATGAAAAAAAATTTGCTCTTCAGAGCTTTCTAGATTTTGTGACTACAGATAAGAGAATATGGTAAACCTACAACTGCTAACATTTACTAAAAACAATGAGTTTCTCCACATGACAGAGTTGGTTAAGCCTTGACTTGTGAGACTAACCCAGTTGACAGATGTTTGATTTGGTCCACAGTGTTGACAGAATGTTTTGAAAGAAAATTAAGTAGTCCCAAACTTGAAAATTGGGAAATTTCACCTAAACATTAGATCTCCAACCTCTGAAAAATCCCAGGATTTGGCAACATTGGGTCAGCATTTCCACAAAGCTAACTCACTAGAGTCCTTTGCAAGCTCCCTGCTTTAAGTGAGGCAAATGCTCCCCAACACCTCACAGCCTCACCCAGGCGGTTTCTCTACTGTACCTGTACCCTCACACCTGAGTTTGGGACCTCTGTCTATGCAGGAGTCATCAAACTTTTTAAACAGGGGGCCAGTTCACTGTCCCTCAGACCGTTGGAGAGTGCGCACTGTGGGCCCGGGACGAGTCAGCTGCTAAGCAGGACAGGCAGCGGAAGCAAAATCACCTGGAGGGCCGGATAAATATGCTAGGCCGCCCATAGTTTGAGAACCCCTGGTCTACAGTTTCCAACTCACATTCTGTTCCCATCTCATATACTCCTCAGACTTGGGAGGGAAGAAACAGGGGCCCTGAGGGAAAGTCCAAAGTCATCCAGCTTGTCAGGGTGACTTAAGCCAAACAATTATGGGGCCGAAAAACCTTGGGCCCTGGACTGGGAGTCTTGCTACTTCTTAGTGTGGGACCATGGCCAGATCATTTACCTTCTCTGAGCCTCGGATTCCACACATACAAAATGGGGCAAATGCAACAGGTCCACAGTCCCTTAGCTACAATTCCAAAAAACAAAAGGTTCAGAAAACAGGAACTTTATTCATAAATTGCCAACAATACTTAACCTGCATTGTCATAGGCCATGTGTAGTTTCTATTCCTGTCAGTGTGAATATTCACACCTTGCCCCACAGAAACATTTGATGATCAAAAATTGGCCCACAGGGCGGGCGCAGAGGCTCACGCCTGTATATCCCAGCACTCTGGGAGGGCGAGGCGGGAGGATCGCTTGAACTTAGGAGTTCAGAACCAACCTGATAAAGACTGAAACTGAAAGCCTGTCTCTAAAAAAATAAATAAAAATTTAAAAAATTGGCCCAGATTCCTCTAAGGTGCTGCCTAATTACGAAACATGCAGCCCATTAATGTTCTAAAATCTGAAAAATTCTGATCCCCAACATGATCCTGGTGCCAAGGGTATCCGATGATAAGACCGAGGATGTGCACTCATGTCTCAATGTCGTTGTGGAGTTTAGAAGAGAGAAAGAAGAGCGTGCAGCTGGACGGCTGGCACACAGAAAGCGTTTAAATATAGTAAATGTTAAAATCTTCGGGTCTCCTGAAGAATTCCCATTCATCATCCCCGATCTGCCCACTTCGGACAACTCATCCCCCCTCCTTTAGCATCAGTTTCCTCAACCAATAATAAAATAAAGCAGAATCTCTACTCTCAGGGCGGCCAGTGAGGACTGGAAACCACTTTACTGGTTTTCCTACCAGGCTGTGAACGAAGGTACAAGCCTCCGCTGAGACAACCGCCGGTCAATGATACGCGCCTTTTGCCAAAGTCGCCGCATTAGTGTTGTCACCCCTCCAAAGAAGAACCGAGCCCGAAAGCCTCCAGGGTCCTCAGCGATCCCAGCTCCAGCGTCTTCCTACCTCGAGACTGTCGTCGGCCGAACTAACAGACGCGACCCACTCGCCGAGTAGCTAGAGAGCCAACTCCCCTCCCACGCGCCTCCTCACAGCAACTTCCGGTGTTGCGCGATACTCCCCAGAGCTACTCCATCCATGATCCTCCGCGCCAGTGCCAGGACTATATTTCCCAGAGGGCTGTGCGGGCGACTTCACTTGTCTTCCCATCTCCACCCGCTTCATCCTTAGAGACACCGCTGGAGCGCTCTGGCGGGGGAAATAGGGTAGAAACGTAATCAGGACCGAGTGACTTCAGGGTTTAGTAGTCCAACTTTAACCCTGTTTAAAGGACCATCTAGTCAACCTTATCCTGCCTTTCCTAGAATACTGGAAGGCTTTTCCATTTCTGAAGGGGACAACAGTAGGTTGCCATAGAAACGCATTAAGAAAGACGTTGGGATTCTTGAGAAGACGCGCGAAACTAAGGGGCGGAGTTGAGGGAGAAGTAACAATATAACCTCTGATTGGTGGAGAGATGCCTTCGATTCATTCCGATTGGTTTTGCATTGGCACATGCGCAGTAGAACCATGAAGTGTTCCAGAGAGGGTGGAATGGGAGGGTGATGAGGAAATAATCCCTCCCTCTGTCCTGAGGCAGAGGACTGGCCTGCCGCGAAGGCGTCTGGGAGATGGAGTTCCCAGAGAGGTATAGCCCAGGGGCCGTCGGGAAGTCAGCGGCGCCTGCGCAGGCAAGTCCGGCCTTAGGGCCAGGATGCGCGCGCAGCGCGTTCGGCCCAGCGGAAGTTTCTGTGGGGTAACTAAGAAGGTGAGTTTTGGGAACTGCGGAGGATTCAAGGGTCTGACCTCAGAAACTCCGCAGTCCACCCTTCTCCTCAGGTACAGGGGTGAGGGGAAGACGAGATGAAGCAGTGGGGAGTCTCCTAGTTCCTAGACACAGCTCGGTCGTGGTGCCTGTGACTTCAGTTTGACCCTTTGTAGGAGGCGGAGGCCCGGCGGGCGGGGATCGGGATGAGAGCGACTCCGGGTTTTTGGGATCACTGCCAATCCTAGTGTGTCGTTAAGGCACTTTTGGCTCTAGGTGCTTGGCTAGACTAGAGCTTCCGTAGAGTTTGAAAGACGCCCCGCCTTGACAGCTACGTCATCCCTCGTTTTGATAGAGGGCGAGGCCTAGGAGACTGTCACCAAGGCTACCGCCCTTCCTGCGCTGGGGTTAGGTGTAGCCCTTCTGTGTTGTCTGCAAGTAAAATAAATGGATGAATGGGTGATGAAGACTGGCCTGAGGGTTGGAACCTTGGGTTTCAAGCCCTGAACTGGCCACGTGACCTTGGATAGCTGACTTAAGCATTCTGGAATGCCCTTGTTTCTTTCATATTTATCGAGCGTTTAGTATATGTAAGGCTTTGTGCAACAGACACTGCTGTTTCTTATACGTTGGTGTGCCTACTTTGATAGGCAGAGTTCTAAGCTTAATGCTATCTAAAACAAATCCTGCCCAACAAGTTTACATTCTAATGGTTGTTGGAGATGCCACACCCTAACAAAGTAAAGTAAATTATACGGTATTTACAGGTTCACCATTCCTTATCTACAACTCTATAAAGTCGAAAAACTTGTGAAAGCTGAAAGGTTTTTTCTGTTTTGCAGCTTGGTCGCCCAACCTGACTTGGCTTTGAACTTGTTTGCTGGCAACAACCAATCTGAACTGATGTGTGGCTATTTACAAGACCAGTGGTCTAACCCCTAAGCTATAGAGCCTCATATGTGGCTATTTACAATCTTTAAAGATTTTGCTGCACAAAATCATATACTTGATTATAGAAGGTTACCCCTAGATCCTGCTGGTGGTGTAATATAGTACTATTCTAAAATCTAAAAATTTTCAAAATACTAGACTTCGAAACACACCTGGCACCAGGTGATTAAGATAAGGTGTATCTATTTTAGATGGCATTAAGTGCTAGGAGAAAAACAAAGGAGGAGGGGGATGCAATTTATAAAAAAGGTCAGGGAAGGACTCTTAGGCTGAGACCTGAAGAACAAAAAAGGAACCAGCCACAGAGGGAGTGGTGGGAAGAGCATTCCTGGCAAAGGGAACTGCTCTGGCAAAGGTTCTGGAGTAGGAATTAACTGGCCCGAGACCATGTGGCCAGAAATGAGTGGAGCAGAATCATTAGAAGAGCTAATGTATCAAATATACGGTATATGTCAGGTACCTTAAAGTTTGAAATTAAAGAGGGAAGTGCTGTTCTTAGTTTAAAAATGGAGAAATAGGTACAGAAGTGTTAAAAAAATTTTACTCAGCACCATCAAACAGTAAGTGGCAGAAGCAGGATCCAAACCCAGTCTGATTAGATTCCAAGTCCATGCTCTTAACCCCTACACTGCTCTGCTTCTAAGTGGCAGACCTTTTTTAAAGATCTTCTAGCTAAATAATTCTGGTCCTAAGCTTTGACTCTCTGGCTCATTGTCTAGACTTGTTTGCAAGGTGAATATGTGCTAACACAGCTGGGGACTCTCCTGCCTTCTTGGTAAGTTTCTTTCTGCAGGGGAGACAATAGTTTATTCACTCAGCAAACACAGATCAAGCATATGCTCTGTGCATGGCCTATTTGAGGCTCTGTGCATACTGTGGTGAACAAGGCAGACAGTCCCTGCAGTCATGAAGCTTACATTCTAGTTAGGAGAGTCAGTGATAAACAAACAAATGAAATATGTCACATGGTAATAAGTGCTATGAAGAAAAACAAAGCAGGGTAAGGAGGACAGAGTGTACTATTATTAATAAAACAGTTTCAAAGCAGGTGTCTCTGAGGAGGTGACATTTGAACAGAGACCTAAGGAAGGTGATGAGGGAGTGATCCATGGGCACTCTGAGGGGAGAACATTCTAGGCATACATGAGAACAGAATAAGTGCAAAGGTCCTGAGGCAGAAATGTTCTTATCACATTTGGGGAAGAGCAAGGAAGGTAGTGTGTCGGGCTCAGAGTGAGCAAAGGGAGATGGCGGGAGAGATCAGAGGGGGAACAGGGAACTGGCAGATCAGGTAGGACCTTGTGGGCCATGGTAAGAGCTTTGGCCTTTACTGTCTGAAATGGAATCTGCTGTATAGTTTTGAGCAGAGCAAGGACAGGGTCTGACTTAGATTTTAAATAGACCCCTCTAGATGCTGAATTGAGAATAGACCGTAGGGGCAAGGGTAGAAGTAGGGAGTCTAGTTAGGAAGCTGCTGGAGTAGCACAAGGGAGGGTTGGTGGCCTAGACCAGGCTGGTGCCAGTATGTCAGAGCTGGGGGCTACATGGCTAAAAACACCCACTATCTCTCATGCCCAGATTCCTCACTCAGCATCAACTTCCAGATTAAAATCTGCAAGAATCTTCTGACTTGCAGCCCCAAGAAAACAGTCCAGTTTTTCATTTCTATTTTATAAATTGGTACAAGGTTAAGAACATGGGCTCTAGAGTTCTGGATTTGAGTTTTGTCTGCACTGTATTCTACCAGAGTAGAGTCTGGTTTGGGGTAGGGAGTATTTTCACCCCTTTGAGCATCAGTTTGTAGATTTCAAAGATGGGATGATTATCCCTACCTCATAAGACTTGGGGGAAAGATTAAAATAATGTATCTGTCTCTGCCACTTAAGAGCTGTGTGGCCTTGAGTAAGTCATTTTCCCTCTCTGAACCTCTGCTTCCATATCTCCCCAAAGAGGAGAGTCATTCTTGCCTTACAGGGTGATTGTGAAGATTCCGTGGATAATACCTACCAAGAACTTAGCATAGTGATCTGCATGTATTGAACTCTCATGAAATGGGAGCTGTTGTTAAGTGACTTTACCTCTCTGTGCTGCAGGGATTCCCTGTTCCAGTTACTACCTCTGCAGAACAAATTATCCCAAAAATCAGTGGTATAAAACAGCCATGCGTCATGCTCATGGATTCACTGGGTCGGGGATTCAGAGAGAGCACAGCGCGGATGGTTGGTTTCGGCTTCATGATGTCTGGGGCCTCAGGAGGAAGACTCAAAGGTTGGGGTTTAAGTTACCTGCAGACTTGTTCACTCAGAGCAGCAGCAGATGCTCACTGCCAGCTGGGGGCCTCACTTCCTCTCTGCTTGGGCCTCTCCATGTAGTCTCTCTGCCTGGGCTACTTTAGGCTGCCTCATAGCGTGGAAACTGGGTTCCACTGGTGAGCATCCTGAGCAAGCCAGCCAGGTGCACATTGTAATCTTTGTATGACCTAGCCTTGGAAGTGTCATGGCATCTTCTGCCAGTCCTATATTTACTGGAGCAGCATAAGCTTCACCCAGGTCCAAAGGGGAGGGACCAGAGACCCTGCCTCTTGATGGGAGGGGCTACAAGGTTTCCATGAGCACACAGGACCGGAAATATTGCTGTGGCCCTCTTTGGAAAATGCAGATGCCACCCTGTCCTAAGAAATAATGATAATTTGGGAACCTACCTCTTGGGCTATTGTGTAGCCTAAATAAGATAATACATAGAAAGCTCCCTGCCTGGAGAACTACCCCCGCCCCAGATATCATGACTCACTCCCTTGTTTCCTTTGGGTCTCTGCTCAAATGTCTCCCCCTGACTGAGACCCTCCTTGGCACCCCATTTTCTCCTGTGGTACTTTATTCTCAATAGCACCATCTCCATGGGACCTGTCCAACAGTTACTTATTTATTAGCTTGTCTTCCCCCACTAGAATGTAATCTTCCTGGGGTCAAGGGCTGTGTTTCTTTCCTGTGTTGCTATCTTCCCAGTGGCTGGCACAAACTACAAACTCAGTAAATAATTACTGAATGAAAGTGAATGAATGGATTTAGTACATACTGGCCACACAGCCAATGCTCAGTAAACACTAGCTATCATCTTTCAATAATATGTGAAAGAGGCATGAGTTAGCTTCTCTACGTTTGTTCACTTTCAGGTCATTGTCAAGATGGAGTTTCCAGCCCAGTGAATCCAAGGGCCAGACCGTGACCCCATAAAGGTACCATCCCCTTGGGCACATGCTCCATAAGGCCTATTCCCCACCAACAGCTGGCTCCTGCTCATCTCCTCTGTGTTGCTGCTAGCAGACTTCACTCTCAGATGGAATTTTGTCATGGGCGTGGCAGGGCTCACCTGTTCTAGGCATTTGTTCTATCCTGGAGACCATCTTTAACTGAGGGCGGTTGGCACCTAGGGACATTCTGCTTAACCTGAAGCCACTTAAAACCACCACAGATTTCCAAACAAACCTTTTGTTTACTTAAGAAACCCAGCAGAGTCTAGGTATGTTAGGCTAGGCTAGGCTATGTCACAGTAACAAACAGCCCCCAAGTCTCAGTGGCTTAACACAAACATGAGTTCTTTCTCACTAATGCAAAGTCTAGACAACTCTCTAGGGCAGCCAGCCTCTAGGCAATTTGATCTTGTGGCTCCTGTGTCAACACTTGGGCTTCAGGTTTGTCACTGCCTGAAGAGAGAAGGGAGAGGTGGCAGTGAGTCCTCTGGCTTAACAAAAGTGCTCACCAGTATTTATACCTTCGAGAAGGCAGAGGTGTCCATTTATGTGTTATTACCAAGACAACAGATCACGAAGACAACCAGAGTTGCAGACTTCCCAGAGGGTGAAGGATACTTGACAACAGCCTTTGCAGTCCAGGTGTCCCACACAACTCCTTTGTGTGAAAGAAGAGAAGGGGCAGCTTTATGCCACAGTGTGGTTTCACTCTTCTGCAGCCCCAGGGAAAGAAGAACCCTGTTCTCTTCCTCTGGCTGAGATGTCTTTCACTAGCTGCTTGGATGGCCTGGGATTTTCAAGGGCAAGTGCTGGAATTCCTTAAGTCAGCACTTACAATGTGGAAAGAGGAAAGAGAAGAACAAATATATGAATAACTAGAATTTATGGTAACTGGGATACAGGGCACAGTATAGTTATAGCGACCACTAACATAAAAGGCCTTCTGTGGGCCAGGCCCTTTTCTTAGTACTTGAGAGAAATATATTCATTTAGGCTTCAGCAGCCGTTCCATCAGATATGTACTGGGAGGAGTCCCATTTTACCACTGGTCAGACTGAGCCACAGAGAAGTTAAGCAACTTGCCTAACACATAGCAGATCTGGAATTCAAATCCAGCAGCCTAGGACCAAACCTGTGATGTTAATTAAGGACTCCACTGTTTGCAATTGCAACAGAGGCCAATCTTCACAGCGAATAATGGAAAAGGGTTTGATCAGAACTTTTTCTTGCATGGTAAAATAAATTCATGAGCACGTGTTCATTTTAACTTCTGTTTTGTTATTCTATCTTTTTAAATGCTACTGTACACTAAGTCTTAGAATATAAGAACAAATAAAATGTTTTTTTTGTTGCTGCTATTTATAAGATATTCATTTGGGGTGTTTATTGCACTGTCATCCTTGTTGATTTTCTCTTCTTCACTTAACTGGCCTAATGCTGCCCTATCCTCATTTGTCATAAGGTCTGTGTGTGATTTGGATTTTTTTTAAGTATTAGAAAATATTTCAGAGATACACAAAGTATAGAGAATAATGTCGTGAACACCTATTGTCCCACTAAATTAGTCAGGATAGGATAGGCTGTGCTGCAGTGACAAACTCTGAAATCTTTGATGGCCTAATACAGAAATGTATTTGTCAATCATGAGGTTCCAGTGTGGACCAGGCCCTCTTTCATCTTGTTGCTACATCACCTGGCAGATGTGGCCTCCAGGGCATCCCTGCAGATGAAGGGGTAGACAGAGGAGGTCTCTGATCTTTAACTGCCACAGCCAGGAAATGACTTCTCCCACTCCATCGGCCAGATCTAGTCACGTGCCCCAACCTAGCTGCAAGGGAGGCTGGAAAGTGTAGGGGAGCTTATGGATATTTGGGGAACATTGACTGTCTCTCCCATTCCCATCATATGTTTTAAGAAATGAGGCCGGGTGTGGTGGCTCACACCTATAATCCTGGCACCTGGGAGGCCGAGGTGGGCGGATCACTCAAGGTCAGGAGTTTGAAACCAGCCTGAGCAAGAGTGAGACCCTGTCTTTACTAAAAATGGAAACAAATTAAATGGACAACTAAAAATGTATAGAAAAAATTAGCCAGGCATGGTGGTGCATGCCTGTAGTCCCAGCTACTCGGGAGGCTGAGGCAGAATGATTGCTTGAGCCCAAGAGTTTGAGGTTGCTGTGAGCTAGGCTGATGCCACGGTACTTTAGCTCAGGCAACAGAGTGAGACTCTGTCTCAAAAAAAAAAAAAAAAAAATGAGCATCACAAACAATAATCAGAGACACTGACTGTGCCTCTTTGACACTTGTCCTGTGATTGGAGCAATTCTCTGACAGTGTTTTCTCTGACCTCAAGGCACGGAGTTTCACTTTGTATTTGTTCTGCTTTGAGTCTACCTTGGGCTGTTAGAATGGGCTAAAGGCTCGATGCACTGGACAGGACCTCTGAAGTACCCATTAGAAGTGGAATATACTTTAGAGAGTATATTCAGGGTGTGATCATTTTTCTTCCCTTTGCAACCTCATCACTGTGGAGAACTCAGATGACTATTCACAGGTAGTGGGTTAAGTTTTTCTTTCAGCTTCCTGTCCTCCTCACCCCCAATTCTGTTTTATAGCATGATCTCCTTCTGTCCAGACTGTGGCAAAAGTATTGAAGCAACATTCAAATTCTGCCCCTACTGTGGAAAACTTTTACCTACAGAGGAGGGCGCAGGGTCCCAGACCTTTGTCAAGCCACGTGTGTCATCCTTGCGAGGTAAGAACTTATCCCTGAGCTTATCCCTGCAGTAGGGGTGAGGTACACACATATGTATGTGAGGACACCTTTGTTACCTGTCTGACCCTTTCTTATACTGGAGAAGCCCAGGGTTTAGGCCTGGACTGCTCTATCTACTTTCAGTCCCTCGGCATCTTATTGGTCTCATGGCTTTAAACACTGTGTATATGTTGACAACTCATGTATTCCTATCTCCAGCATGGACTTGCCCCCTGCTTGGAGGAGATTTATGTATAGCAAGCTGCCTGCTTGACTTCTGCAGGTTGAGTATCCCTTATCCGAAATGCTTGGGACCACATTATTCTTACTGATTGAGCATCCCAAATCCAAAAATTCAACATCTGGAATGCTGCACTGAGCATTTTCTGTGAGTGTCATGTTGCCACTCAACACTCTGGAGTTTCAGATTTGGGATGTTCAACCTGATAGATGTCCCATATGCATCTCAATCTGAACGTGCCCAGAACTGAGCTATTGGTATTACTGTTGCCTCCATCTGCCTCCTTCCATGGACTTCCCCATCAAAGTAAACAGAAACTCCATTTATCCAGTTTCTCAGGCCAGAACCTTGCAGTCATCCTTGAGTCCTCTTTCTCTCCCACCTCATGTACATCCAGCCCTTCAGCACATTTCATTGGCTGTCCTTAGAAAATCAATGCAGTATCAGACCACTTCCTTCCAGCTCCCCTCCCACCTCCCCGCTCCATCCCACCCTCTCCTCTGGCCTGTATTGTTGTAGTCTTCTTCATGTGGCAGTGGAGGGGATCCTGCTAATATGGAGTCAGAACCTGTCATTCCTCTGCTCACATCCCTGTGAAGCCTCACATGATTGGGTACCCATTTCCTCTCGCACCTCACCTCCTAATCCCCCTCCTGTTGCTCATGCTGTTCTAGCTGCACTGGCCTCCCCACTCTTCCCCAGTACCTCAGCACACATGGCTCTCTGAGCCTTCACACTTGGCTTGGCACACCCAAATGTGTTGAATAAAATATAAACAATGTCCTTTTTAATATAGGGCTGGATGGTAGGAAAGTAAGGGAATTCCATGGAAGTGAAGAACAGTAAAAAAAATCCACAATAAAAAAGATCCACAGGGCTAAGCAAGTATTGTAGGTGTTATCTGTCCTGGGGCTATTTGATGGTGACCTGAAGTGGCCTGGTTTTCATTGGGGTACAGGAGGCAAAGCTTAGGGCCTGAGCAGTGCAGGAGGTGAGATTGGAATCCCACCTCTTAAATCTGGGATGCCTCTGTGGGTAAATGAGAATAAAACAATTGTTCCACAGAGAAAATTGGTGGAGACATTTGTTGGTCTCAGCCTTGGTGGTGGGTGAAAAAAGGAAGAATGTCTTTTCTGAATATTCCTAACCAAGCACTCTCATTCTCACCAGTTGGGACCAGAATTCATACTGATCTGTGTGGCCTCCCAAAAATACAAGCTGAACTTTTAATTTAAAGTGGTGAGATATGGGTACCACCACCCATCCCACATAAACAAATTTTCTCTTGGAAAACACCCTTCAAAGACAGAGCTCAGAGAATTCTCACATCCCAGTAACGTGAGTCCCAGTCTTTGTTGACTTAAAAAGACACCGGGAAATAAGCCATCATGAGAGTCAACAGAAACAACAAACTACAGAATCAGAACTGCAAAGACTGCAGACCTTAGAATGAACAGATGAGAATATTTACAATGTAAATTTAATATGTTTAAAGAGATAAAAAGGCCGGGCGAGGTAGCTCACGCCTGTAATCCTAGCACTCTGGGAGCCCAAGGCGGGCGGATTGCTCTAGGTCAGGAGTTCGAAACCAGCCTGAGCAAGAGCGAGACCCCGTCTCTACTCTAAATAGAAAGAAATTAATTGGCCAACTAATATATATAGAAAAAATTAGCCGGGCATGGTGGCACATGCCTGTAGTCCCAGCTACTCGGGAGGCTGAGGTTTGAGATTGCTGTGAGCTAGGCTGACACGGCACTCACTCTAGCCTGGGCAACAAAGCGAGACTCTGTCTCAAAAAAAAAAAAAAAAAAAAAGAAATAAAAGAATAAATTTAAAGTATAGTGGAAGAATAAGAGTTAGAATTGACCAGGGAGATTAGAGGAAGAACCAAATAAAACCTTTAAGGATAAGAATATATATATCATCTTTGCAATTAGAAACTCAGCAGATAGGCTGAGCATGCCTGTAATCCCAGCACTTTGGGAGGCTGAGCCAGGAGGATCGCTTGAGGATAGGAGTTTGAGACCAGCTTGAGCAATATAGTGAGACGCTATATCTACAAAAAATAAGAAAAATTAGCCAGGCATGGTGGTGCATGCCTGTAGTTCCAGCTACTCAGTGAGCTGAGGCAGGAGGATCGCTTGAGCTTAGAAGTTTAGAGCTGCAGTGAGCTATGATCAGGCCAGTGTACTCCAGCCTAGTCAACAGAGTAAGATCCTGTCTCTAGGGGGGAAAAAAGCCATGGATGGTTTAAATAGCAGACTAGACATAGCTAAGGGGAGAATTAGTGAACTGGAAGACAGATTTGAAGAAATTACCCAAAAGAGAGCGCAAAGTGATGGAACATTTAAGAGAAGCCAAGACCTATGAAAGAAAGAATAACTAAAAGAAAGGAGCAGTTTGCTTAGATATTTAGGTGATCAAAGAAGCAAGAATGGCTGTGAAGGTCAAAGGGAAGTGTGTAGCTGAATATGACCTCAGGGTTTCTGGTTTAATGGTGCCTGGAAAGGGCCATTGTAACTCCAGTCTGCATTTGATCTGCCTTTCTCCAGGCACCAGAAGACAGCTGAACTCCTCCAGTTCTGAAATTTCTCCCAAGAGAGTGAAATGGTCTAGCACTGTCACTGCTCCTCAATTATCCCTCTTCCCAGATGGTGACAGTTCTGGGTCTGAAGATACCTCAAGTCCTTCTGAGAGATCCAAAGGTAAGAGTTAGGGTCATTCTGGCCTGACTGTAGATGGAGCAAAGGCGGGTCACCTGACAAAGTTTGGGACAGAGCTGCCACAGCCCCCCACTCATACCTCATCCACCCCTGCCTGGACCATCATCCCCGGCTCCCAGTCTCTCCCTCCAGCCCATCTCTAAATGGCCCCCGAGAGGTCTTTCTACACCTGGAGCTGCCCTGGCCCCTCCCTGCTCACAGCCCCTGTTGCTTCTGTCACCCACAGTGCAGGCTCTTCAGCCTGGCGTCTGTATGGTCTGGTTCCTGCTTTAGCTCTCACCTCAACTCTATGCACAGAAAACTCACTTTTGGAGATTTTTAGGCTCTGGTCTTTGTGAAGTCTGTTCCCTTCGCCTAGGACACTCCCATCCCCCTCCTTAGCCTGGTGTGCTGCCCCTTTCCCAGCACTCAGAGGGTCTAATCTCTGAGAAGCCTTTCCTGAATGTTGTAGGCTCACGTCAAGGCCTCCTCCCTGCCAGGGCCTCTCTCCAACCTCATCATCCAGCATGCCCAGTGCTGCTGCCTTCATTTGAGCACATGTGTCACTGGGTTCTGTGTCCCTTTTGGCCTCACTTTCTGGACTGAGAGTCCTTTGTGGACAGGGTCCAAACCAGTGCCCAGGACACTGGAGCTTGAGGACTGTGTGCTTATCTCCTGCCTACTGGGCCCCTAGATATGAAGTCACAGCCTGAGGGGCCTCCCCTTTCTCCAGCCCCAGAGTCCTGTTGCCATTATGTGTCTTGCGGGGATGGAGGGTGGGAGGAACGAGGTGGGGGATGTCATCTTTTCCTGTGTCCAAGTCTGTCTCCTGCCACACCCACCCCACTCTCTTGCCAGTCTAGGAGCCCATCGAGAGCAAGGCTTCCGTCTAAAAACTTCTGGTCCCTCTTGAATCTCAGCACAGGGCCAAGTCCTATTTTTGGGTAAATGTCCTTTTCCCCTGGCAAACTTCTACTCATCCAATAAGACCCAGTGCTAATGTGCCCTCCTCCAGGAAGCCTCCCTGACTTCTCTAGGCAAAGTCAATGTTTTTCTCTTCTGGTCCTTTTATCTCTTGGTACTGCCCCGTCTCAGACTCAGTTCTGACTGATGGTGTTTAGGTCAGACTTTCCCACCAAATTAGTGGCTTCCAAGAGAAGGGACCAGGACTGACTCATGTCTGGCTCTCCAGCATCATCACATATAGGACCTGACCTCATAAAAGTTCCCAGGAAGTGTTTGTTGAATGAACAAAGGAACAGTATTACGAATGTTATTTCATTCTCCATCCAGCTTTTCTTTCTGGGATGCCACTTTTTCTTTATTCTGACCATCTTCCTACAGCTTCCTTTAGCAGGCCCCCAACGCCCAGGTACAGCCCGGTACAGCCCAGGTACAGCCCGCAGCCGACCAACCGAAGCCCTCAGACACTGAAGCGGAGCCGGGTGACCACCTCACTTGAGGCTTTGCCCACAGAAATGGTGCTGACAGACAAGAGCGGGCGGCAGTGGAAGCTGGGATCCCTCCAGAGCAGGGACGACCAGGGCATTCTCTATGAAGGTACAGCCTGCCCACAGATGGGCGGGTGCTGGGCTGGACTGGGCCGTTGCAGCACCAGGACGGGGAGAGGGACCCCTTTCTGAGAATGGGAACGGAAGCCACGTCCCCAGCTGCAGACCTGCCTCTAGGCAGCCTTCCCTTAGACCCAGGACTATGAACCTCCCTGCGTACAGGGGCCTGGCAAGTATTGGAAATGAATGCAGGAGGCTGGAGGATGGCAGATGGGAGTGGCAGGACTGCAGCCAGTGGGAAAGCACGCACCCTGCGCAGGTGTGCTCCTCTTCACCGCCACCTGCTGTCACGTGGGGTGCGGGCCCAGTGGCCAAGTGATCAGGACGTGGCCAAGTGTCAGCCTACAGAGACAGGATGGACCCTCACCCAAAATTTGGTTCAGATGTCAAAACGAATGATGTTCCACACCAAGAGGATATGAGAGGTTTATTCCTTACGTAGCTGTGGTCTCTGCAGAGAGCAGAGCAGGCCGGCCACGTGGGTGGGAAATGCCTTGAGAGAGTGAGGGGAGGAGGCTGCCCTGGGTGGTTCACGTGGCTGGGATGGGACTGGGGTGATTTGAGTCTCCCGCCAGCTCCAAAGGCTTTCTTACCAGCATGCCCAGATGGGATGGCTGGGGAGGGGCAGGGGTGAGGCTTAAAAACTGTGAATAGTGAAACCTCAAACGATGGAGTCAGATTCTTTATTACAATGAGGGAAAAAACAACTGTGGTATTAGTATTAATAATACCTAATGTTTATTGAGTGTTTATGCAAGGCCAGGACCTGTTCCAAGCACTTTATATGCGGTTTTTTGCACTTTTTTAATTGAGATAAAATTCATAAACATAAAATTTACTCTTTTAAAGAGTAAAATTGAGTGGTGCTTGGTATATTCACAGTGTTGTGCAACCATTGCTACTATCTAATTCCAAAACATTTCCATCACTCCAGGGAAAAACTTAATACCTTTAAACAGTCACTTGGCATGTCCCTGTCCTCCCACCCACCAGCAACCACTAATGTCCTTTCTGTCTCTGTAGATATGCCTATTTTGGACATTTCATATAACAGAATCATACAGTATGTAGTCTTTTGTGTCTAGCTTCTCTCAGTGTCACGTGTTCAGGGTCCATCCATGTTGTAGCATGTGTCAGTTCTTCACTCCTTATAGCTGAACAATATTCCATTGTGTGCGTAGACCACATGTGGCTTATCCATTCATCAGTTGACAGGCATTGGAGTGTTGGGCTATTATAGATAATGCTGTGTGAATATTTGTGTATAAGTTTTTAGATGCACCTATGTTTGCATTCTTCTTCTTTTTTTTTTTTTTTTTTTTGAGACAGAGTCTCACTCTGTTGCCTGGGCTAGAGTGCCGTGGCTTCAGCCTAGCTCACTGCAACTTCAAACTCATGGACTCAAGCTATCCTCCTGCCTCAGCTTCCCAAGTAGCTGGGACTACGGGCATGCACCACCATGCTGGGCTAATTTTTTCTATATATACTTTTTAGTTGGCCGATTAATTTCTTTCTATTTTTAGTAGAGATGGGGTCTTGCTCTTTCTCAGGGTGGTTTTGAACTCCTGACCTTGAGCGATCCTCCCACCTCAGCCTCCCAGAGTGCTAGGATTACAGGCCTGAGCCACCGCGCCCAGCCTGCTTTATTCTTCTTAACTCACAGAATTCTCACAAGAGCCTTAGGACATCAGTATCTCCATTATCCCCATTTTATAGATGAGGAAAATGGATTCCAGAGATATTAATAACTAGCCAGGCTTTGGGCTCCAGAGATCTTTCAAGTTTTAGGGAAAACCAGAAACCTAGGTTTTGATAGGAAACCTTTCATTTCGATGTGCTGGCTGGCCGGATGGGCATGAGGCTGTTTTGAGCCTCCCGTTGGCTGTCTCTGCCTTCGACTCTGGGGAGGGGCAAGGCGGCATGTTTGGGACAGCCCTAGCTGAGTCCTGGCTTGGCTCCGACATGCTGAGTGAGCCCAGGGAAGCAGCTCAAGCACTCTGTGCCTCGATGTACCCCACTGGAAAAGTAAGAGATGATGCCCCATGCGCCTGTCTCCTAAGGCTGTTGGTGCCAGATGATGACAGGATGGAGGCAAAGCATTTGGAAAACTGTAAAGGGACCTTCCTAGGCCAAGATAGGCAGTGTTAATCATGGAGGGACAGAAGAGTGCGACAGGGAAAAGTCAGGGAGACATAAGAGAGCATGGAGGAACGTGACAAGAGAGGGGCGTGAGCTAACGCTTAGGGAGCACTCACTCCATGCGGGCATGTTTGGAGTTCTCCGTGTCATAATCCACATGATGCCCCCAGTTATGTTGTGAGAGAGGCACCCTTAGTACCCATCTTACAACTGGGGCACAGAGAGGGGAAGCCACTTGCCGAAGGGCACACAGCCTGCAAGTGGCAGAGCTGGGATTTGAATCCAGGCAGTCTGGATTTTCCTAAGAAAGGGAGAGAGGGAGAAGAAATGAGAGTGAGAAGGAATGGTAGGCAGAGGATAGAGGGAAGAACAAGAGGAAGAGGGATGGAGGAGAGAGAGCAGGGGTGGGGAGAGAGGAAGAGGGCAGGGAAGGAAGAGAGAGAAAGAAGACGTGCAGGGCCAGAAGCACCTGAAAGGAAGAAACCACACTGTCCTCACTGGAAACCACAGTGGGAAGTACAGGAAGGGACCAATTTTAGGTTGTTTGATAAAAATAACAAACCCCAGCTGGGCGTGGTGGCTCACGCCTATAACCCTAGTACTCTGGGAGGCCAAGGTGGGAAGATCGCTTAAGCTCAGGAGTTTCAGACCAGCCTGAGCAAGAGTGAAACCCTGTCTCTACTAAAAATAGAAAGAAATTAGCCAGACAACGAAAAATAGAAAAAATTAGCCAGGTATGGTGGCGCATGCCTGTAGTCGCAGCTACTCAAGAGGCTGAGGCAGGAGGATCGCTTGAGCCCAGGAGTTTGAGGTTGCTGTGAGCTAGGCTGATGCCACGGCACTTACTCTAGCCTGGGCAACAGAGTGAGACTCTGTTTTAAAAAAATAAATAAATAAAAATAACCCCTTCCTGGCACCCAGCCTGCCTGAGTCACTCATTCCTTCAGCGGATCCTTAAGCAGCAGCTGCTGCATGCCAGGACCTGGTGGTGGGGCAGACACAGCAGGGCTGGTGAAGGCCCTGCAGGCCCTGCTCGCACTTGGGGAGGCTGCGCAGTAGGGCGACATTACTGTAGGGCAAATCGCCCGTATCCTCTGCCAGTTTGTACCAGTTGAGAGGAGATAGTGGCCTATTGTGTCCTATAGTTTAAAACAGTAACAATAAAATAGAAACAGCAGCAGAATCTTTATTGTTACTATAGCAGTGGACACTTTTATCCCATTCTGTGCCCTGCCAAGTTCTAAGCACTTTACGTCTGTTAACTGTTATCTGTCAAATACTGAATTATAATGTCATACTTCTGGCCTCCCTGGAGCAGTATGGGAGAACCGTCATCCATTGTCAGTCGCATAAATCCCTGCAGCTGCTCACTGTGGTGTGCTTGAGAAAGTTGCCCCATGAAAAGGAGCTCAGGTTCAAGTCCAGGCCCTTGTGGATGGAGGCTTGTGTTCATTGTGTTCATTTCCTAGGGCAGCTTTGACAGTTTACCACCAACTTTGTGGTTTAACACAACACACGTATATATTCTCTTACAGTCCCGGAGGTCAGAAGTCCAGAATCACTGCGTACACGGTCTAGGTGCTGGAAGCACTGGTTCCTTTGCAGCCATTAAAGGAGAAGTCACTTGGAGTCTCCAGCGAGGATTAGGGAGGCAGGAAAATGTGGGGGACCCTGGAGCCTAATTGTGTGGGCAGGTCTCCTGCCTTTGCTGGCAGCTAGTTGTCTGACCTTGTTCACATGACATTATGACCTTTATGCCTCAGTTTCCTCATCTTCAGAGGAGAGATCATAACACTACCAACCTCACACAGCTGTTGCTGGGAGAGTTAAATGAGTAGAATGGTGCCTGGGAGAATAGCAAGTGCTGTATATGTGCTTTCTGTTGTTATGGTTAGGATAGGTCCAGAAGAGCATTCTTGCTGCAAGTTCAATGTTGCCCTTCCTTTGGCAAGCAGAGGCTCCCGCCTGCCTGCCTGCCTGCCTGCCATGCTTGGCACACAGAGATTTTCCACATTGTGGAAGGGGTCGTTGTGGCAAGCAGGGGCCACCCTAGATCATAGAGTCTCAAGTCCTGGTCTCTGCTGGGGCCCTTGCTCTGGTCTGTCCTCCCTTGGTTCCTTCTGCAACGAAAATGGCCCAACCAGCTCTCCAGGCTGTTAGTGGGGGGGTCAGTTACAAAAGTGGAAAAGAAAAACTCTTTATAATCAGCAAAGCAGTGCAAGAAAACTGTATTTAAGTCACCAGCTTTTCCTGCCTGCTTCCTAGTGCCAGGCATGTACGCATTGTCGTCTGACCTCATGCTAACCCTGTGTGGTACTCTTATTACGCCCAGGTTCCTGTGAGGAGCAGGCTCTTGGCCATAATGTCCCAGCCAGCTCCAGGGCACTCCTTGATGATCCCCCAAGTCCCCTCCCACAGCCAGAAAGCATCCTCTATCCCCGAGATCCGTGCCCTGCACACTCTTCCCTCTTCTGCTGGGCTCAGAGTATCCTTGGCCTTGAATGTGTAGAACCGGGTCCCAGCCCTGTTCCAGCTGGAATTTCTTAAGGGGCAAGGATGGCTTCTAGGGGACTTGGTCACTTCCTTATCCCTTAGCTCAGCATCTTAGGTGATACCAACCTTGATGATTAAGGGAGGAACACAGGAATGAGCAGGGTGGATAGGCGATGATGGTTCAGTTCATGGGCTTCAAATTAACGGGGCTTCAAGTCCGCTCTGCCACTTACCAGCTGTGGGGCCCTGGTGTTGATGGGGATATTTGAAAAAGCTGCCACATGTTGAGCAATCTGGATGCACCAGGCTCTACGATGGGCTGTGGGCTGTGAGTGGGTTGATTGAGCCGTGCGTGCACGTTAAGGGGGATGCAAGCTCTGGCTGCACGCTTAGCCGGTGCTATATTACTCCTACTGGCCAGTCGAATCCTTGCAGCCCATCTCAGGGTCAGCTTCATTACGCCTGTTTTATAGACGTGGAAATGGTGGCCCAGAGATATGTTTAGCACCTCACCCAAAGTCACACAGAGGAGCTTAGAGACGGAGGAGCTGGGATTTGAACCCAGGTCGGCCTGGCATTTCTTGGCTTTAGGTCTCTAAGCTTTAGGTCTCTCATTTTCTCATCTGTCAAATGAGGAGGATGCATGGAAGGCCCACACTTAGCACAGCGCTGGAGGTGTGGCGGGTTCCCAGAAGCAGGCTCTGGGGCGGGACAAGCACACGGGGTGTTTATAAGGAGCCTGGAGGTGGGGAGGGGAAGGAAGCACGTGGGGCAGAGAGAGAGGGGCGCCCATGATGCAGCCCAGTGACAACCTCAGCTGACCCTGCGGGAGTCTGGAGCTAGAATGGCCCTTCAGCATGGCTCCACATCGGGTCAGGACAGCTGAGCCTTTGTGTCCCCCTCGATCCTTCGTTGGATATGGGTCACTGTTGGATGAGGCTACTCTGCACAGGATGCTCTTAATTCCCCCGCCACAAGTTGTGACAATTTGTGGGAATTGTCCACCAGGGAAGCTGATCAGAGAGGCTCAGTGCCCCCTCTGTCTAACAGGTATCCAAATCCCAGGCTCCCAGAAGAAAAGCAGGTGTTCAACATAAACCACATCATTTGCACAAATGGTTCAGGCCCAGTGAGCCCCTCTCATCAGTCAGGGAATTTTGGGAGCCCCCCCTGATACTCGGTTCCCAGACCTCACCCGGAGAGCAGTCCAGCCACTGTGGTAGCCTTTCCTGCACAGCTGGGTACTGACAGCGAGAAGAAGGGAGAAGAACCCGGTTGCTGGGAAGTTTGAGGACGATGACTCTGGCCTTCCCTGGGGGTCATAACCTTGCCCGCTCGTTCTATTCCTCCACAGCTGAGCCCACCTCCATCCTCGCCTGTGGCTCAGATCCCCAGAAACAAAAGTTCTCGCTCAAATTGGTAAGTGGCCCTGAGGGGTGGGGGCAGCGCCAAGAGAAGGGTGTGGGGCTTTGCCAAACGCACCCTTGACTTCTGAGTCCCTCCTAAGTGGGAGAGTTGGGCCTGGGGGCCAGGGTCGGTCTGGCCTGCAAGGAGCAGCGAGGCCTTGGGACAGGCTCCCGGTCCTCCATCTCGCAGGGCTGTTTGAAACCTGCAGCAGTCGCATCTGGCCGAGTCTGGCTCCGGTGCTTCCTGGCTGTGTGATGTGGGCAAGCGCGTCCCCTCTCAGAGCTCGGTTTCCTCATCTGTGGAATGGAGCCACTAATACCCCCATCGGGTGGCCACCTGCCCACTACTGCCTGCGTCCGCATGTGGTCCGCAGCCTCGTCATCCCTGGGTGCTGGGATTGTGGGTGACTTTTATTCTCTTCCTTTCATTTATCCAAATTGTCTCATGCCCCAGAAAACCCAGGACAGCCGGGTCGGGTGCCCTCTCTCAGGCCTAGACAGAGGCCGTGTGTGTGGGTCAGAGTGCAGGCTCCGGGGCCAGGCTCACTGATGACAGGTAGCACCTGCTGTCGAGAGCCAGTCACGTGCCCAGCCCAGGCCAAGCCATTCTCGAGCACTGCTTTGTCGAATCCTCTCAACGGTAGCCACCATGTCCCAATTCACTCTTTTCAGAGAGGTTCATTTGAGGCCTGGTACAGTAAGCACCCCACCAGTCTGCCTGTTCCTGTTGTTATTACTATTTTTACTACCATCCTCTCCAGGAAAGCAGAAATGAAGTTCTCTGCTCATCCATGTGACCCAGTCAGCATTTCCTTAGGCTCAGAGCTGGGTGACACTGGGCTGTCAGCCCGCCCCAGGCCCAGTCCTGGAAGAGCTCCCAGTCTGGTGTCTGGGAGACACCATGTCACAGTCCCATCAAGTAGAGGGACGTGCTGCCAGGCAGGGAGCATGGGGCACAGGGCCGACCAGAGGACATTGAGAGCCTCTCCATCCTGGGGCAGGCAGTTCTGTTCTGATGTTTTTGAAAGGGCAAGTGCTTAGTGCCCGGTGTGCTCATCCACTCATTTATTCATTTGTTCACCAAACCTTTCCCACAGCTTCCTGTGAACTGGGCACTGGGACATCTGCAGAGATGGTCCGACCCGATTCCTGCCCTTAAGGTGCTACCCCGGTGGGGGAGTGGGGCACAGGCACGAATGTGCCCTGTGGATTGATCAGGGCCCAAGAGGCTGTGCTCACATCAGCTCACAGTTACCCAGAGCTCACTGCGGATTCACTTGCGTCACAGAGGACTCCAGGGCAAGAGGAGGGTGGGCAGGGGCTGGGAGCCAGGCTCACTAATGACTAGTAGCACCTGCTGACGGAGAGCCTGTGTGACAGACCCTGGGCTGAGAGTTTCACAAGCACCGTGAAGCCTACAGGGTAGCTGCCGTGTTCCCATTTAACAGATGAGGAAATAGAGACTCACTTGCACAAGGACACCAGTGTGCACGTTGCTCTGTTCACTGCTATATCCACAATGCCCAGACGATACTCAGCACCTAGTGGAGGCTCTGTAGAAAGAATGAATGAATGACAGCACTGGGATTTGAACCTAGCTCTGTTTGACCTGCAGTTTTAAGAACCTAGCTGTACTCGTTGTGTTTAATTAAAATATTTGGTTTGACTGTGATTTTTAAAAAGACCCAATGTTAACAATGGCTTAAGCAAGATAATATTTTGTTGCTTTTCACTTAAAAGTCTAGGCCAGTGGTCCAGAGCTGATATGATGGTTTCGTTAACAAAGGGCCCGCTTTCCTTCTCTCCTGTTGCTCCAACATCTTCAACTCATAACCTCCATCTCTTGGGCTGAGATGCTGCGTCACCTCCCACTGCCACCTCTGTGTTCTGGCCAACTGGAACAGGAGAAAAAAGGGAAACCCTGTCCCAGCCTTTTAAGGGCATAACCTGGAAGTGGCCCAGATTTCTTTTCCTCACAGCCCCCTTGGCCAAGACTTAGTCATGTCATTCCTTACTGCAAAGGACGCTAGGAAATGTAGTTTTTAGCTGAAGGCCACATTCTGGGGAAAACTTAGTGGATTCTATCATAAAAGAAAGAAAAGGAACCTGAGTGCTGGGAGGTGGCTCGCAGTCACTGGTATGTGTTCACATGCAGCACCCTAGGAATTTGGTTCTGATTTGGGGACTTGAGGAACTTGGTCGTCACTGGCACTACCCTGGGGTGACAAATGGCCAGTGTGGATTGGGTGTCCTTGTCTAAGAGAGTTCAAGGTGACAGCCTTCCGGTCTTCCTGTCCCCCACCAGGATGCCAAGGATGGGCGCTTGTTCAACGAGCAGAACTTCTTCCAGCGGGCCGCCAAGCCTCTGCAAGGTACATGGGCAAGGGGAGAGAGTTAGAGATGCCAGCTTGGTCACAACTCCCTGTAGGTTTGGGAATGGTAGGGAATAAAGGCCCAGGTTTGCACCCCATCTGTGCCCACAGCCTCACGCCTGTCACCCTTCAGGACTCCGCCCTCTGAGGAAAGACAGCATGTGCAGGGCCTGGGTCTCACTAGCTCTTGAGAGTCAAGTATTAAATTTTAAGGAATACTGTAAGCTGGTCATTATATACAGCCGTTATTTAAAATTAAATTATATAAACTTACAATCAAATAAATTATATTCAAAACAAAGGTACTACTACTCAAAATTTCATCCTGTCCTAATTATATTTCTACATTTTCTGTTATTTGTACTGTAGAGGTTACTTACATGTATTGCCACATGTGGTGACAGTACTGCATAGTGGCATCGGCTGTGTGTCTCTCCCAGGTCACATTCAGTCACGTCATGTTGGTAGCTTGAAGTTGGCCGTGGTGGGAGGTGTTTACACCGCAGAGATTGCAAATGCTACCAGTCAGGACTTATTCCCCACATAGCCAGTGTTAAACTTGCCTCAGCACACCATTGGTTCTTTTCCGCCCCACTGAGATCTGGAAGGTACACAGAGGCATGTTCTGGCCGCATCATGGCCAATTCAGATAGCCGTTGATCTCATCAGCTCTGCGTGCGAATTTAGAAGTTGGTCTGTCGTTCTTTGCCTTCCCACTTACTCTAGATTTGTATATGCTTCCTCAGAAGTCACCTGTAGACATGAATCACCCACATTCATGGGTCACCCACACCCACCTTCTCACAACCCCTGTCCTGCTGTCACCCACCCGCAAAGATGTCATCTCCTACAAGTAGACCCAGGGTCTGGTCTGGGCACTCTGTGTTAGTGGTCTGAGAATGAGCTATTGTTGCCATGGGCCTGGGACCAGGTAGGCTCTAATCTCAAGCCCCTGCCTCCTACAGTGAACAAGTGGAAAAAGCTGTACTCGACCCCCCTGCTGGCCATCCCCACCTGCATCGGCTTTGGTGTTCACCAGGACAAGTACAGGTCAGCCACCTCACTTGCTGTCCCCCTCACTGGCCCCTTTCTTTCTCTCCCTTTCCTATGCCCAGACATGGCTGGGAGCCTGGAGCCATTGGCCAGTTAGTTGCTTCCTTCCTTCTCCCAGTTTTGAGCCAAGCTGGCACCAAACCAATCAGAGCCCTTAATCTCATCTGGGACCAGGACCTTGCAACCCCTCCGCCACCCTCCATCCTTGGTGGACTGTTCCCCTCCCCTGTTGATCTCCCACCTCCTGCCACGCTCATGTCTTCAGGTTCTTGGTGTTCCCCAGCCTGGGGAGGAGCCTTCAGTCAGTGCTGGATGACAACCCGAAGCACGTGATGTCGGAGAGGTCTGTGCTGCAGGTGGCCTGCCGGATGGTATGTACCCGGAAGTTGCTCAGCTCCCATGTGCAGGAGGGCGCATCGGATCTAGTTCATCAGGCTGTTTATTCATTGACATCCAGCCCCCACTTCCCTCCGCTGAACACTGGGGCTGGACACTAACTGACACAGGTGGACAGTTAGAACTGGGGTGACGAGCGCTGCCATGGAGGGCTCTCGGGACTGTGGGCATGGGGGAAGGGGCCCCAGCCTCAGACTCAAGGCTTAGATTGTACTTCCTGGTAGAGGTTGTTTCTAAGCTAACACTCGTGAGACAAGTGGGAAATAGCAAGGTGCTGGGTGGAGTGGGAATACATGAGCAAAGAATATTCCAGGCCAATGATACAGCTGAGACAAAGGCTTGTAAAGGAGAGAGCACATAAGACATTTGTTCATTCATTCATTTAATCTTTCATCCTCTCATGAAGTATTTACCAGGTACCTACTGAGTGCCACCCTGTCCGAGGGGCTGGGGGTAGAGCAGGGAGCAGCACAGACGTGGGTTTTGTGTCTTGGAGCTCGCAATCTAGTGGGAAAGGACACTATTAAATAAAACAGTTGCACAGATTGTGACAAGTACTCTGGATAGAACTGTCCCCCTGCTGTGATGGAGAATAAGAGGACCCAGTGGAAATTGCCGGAGGGATAGATGTGCCGGGGGAGTGACACGTTAAGGGAGTCTTGGAGTCTTCATGTTCAGAGTGTCTGCTATGTGGTATGGGGGTGGGGAGGTCAGCATTGTCCAGGTCACACAGGGCCTCATATACCAGGCTGAGGGGCTGGGACCCCATCCTGAGGGTGGTGGGGAGCCATGGGAAGATTGAGAGAAGAAGAAGGACAGGTCAGCTCTTGGGCAGAAAACCCTCAGGGGCCATGTGGGGATGGACTGGAGGGGAGAGACTGTAGGCAAAGTGAGGGTCCTCATGGGAGAGGATGAGGCCTGAGGAGGGTCCCAGGCCATAAGGATGGAGAGTTTGCAGAAGTAGAACAAGCAGAACTTGGTGGACAGTTCAGCCCTGGGGTCAAAGAGGAGGGGCCTGGGGCTATAACCAGGATGTAGCTCACACCAGGCAGTTGTACAGGAGTCTGGCACTCAGTAGAAAAATTTGAGCTGGAAATAAAGATATAAATTGCTTAACTAAATTTATTTCTGCTCTCTAGGAGAAATGAGAAGAACTCTTTCTTGTACGTGGGTGCTAGGTCATTTTTGCAGAGGGGCAGGCTTCCTCTCCTGAGTTTGCGGTCAGCTAAGAGATAGAGGAGGTAGATGGAAAGCCACGTGTTAGTTGACTGCTGCATCTCTGAGAGCCTAGTTAGAGGTGTGCCTAGGTGTGCTATCACAGAGGGCTTCCTAATGCACCCAGGATTAGTCAGGCTTAATGTCCCAGTCACAGACAGAGCCAGACAACCCCAGGCCTAACAGCAGGGGGTCCCCTCACCCAGCTTTGCATCACAGCCTCTTCGTGTAAGTCATGCTGCTGACGGAGATGCTTGCTTGTTTCTTCCCCTAGCTGGATGCCCTGGAGTTCCTCCATGAGAATGAGTACGTTCATGGAAATGTGACAGCCGAGAATATCTTTGTGAATCCACAGGATCTGAGTCAGGTAAGAGCCAGGTCCTACCCACTCTGGAAGGTCTCTGAGCTCAGGTCCCATCTGTCTCTAAACCTCTGCTTATTTCACAGTGCTTATTGCAGACAAAGGATTGGTGTTCATCATATATAGAGAGTTCCTTTGAATAAATAAGAAAAGATAAGGAACTTAATATAAAAATGGGCAAAGGATAGGAAAAGCAGTTCGTAGAAAAAGAAATCCACAGGTTAGTTAAATATATGAAAAGATACTCAACCTCCCTTAATAATCATAGAAATGCAATTAAAAGAAGGTACTATTTTTTACCCTTTGAATGGGCAGAATTAGGAAAAATGATAATATTTATTGTTGGTAAGGATGTAAGGAAGGAGGAATTCTTCATACACTGTTGGGAGTGTGAATTGGGCAACCTTTTTGGAGGGTAATTTGGAGATAACGGTCACAATGTTAAATACATCTGTTTTTTGAATCATTAGTTCCTCTTTTAGAAATGTATCCTATCCATATATTCATGGGGCTGTTCAAAGATACATGTACAAGATATTCCTGACAACATCGATTGTAATAGTTAAATGGGAAACACCTTAAATATATAGTTCCAGTAGGATACTGATTAAATAGTATTTTAATTAAAGTAATTTTTAATTACTCTTTCAGTTGCAAATTACAGAAACCCAACTTAACATAGCTTAAGCAAAAATACAAAAGGAAGTTGCAGTTTATTAGTCCATGGAATGGAAAAATTCATGACTTTACTGGGTTCAGGCATGGCTGGATCTAGGAACTCAATCCCAGTCACTGGGAAGCTGGCTCTTCCGTCTCTGGGCTCTTCTTGCTTCTGCATTACTCATTGTCAGGCAGACTCTTTCCTCATGGTGACACAATTGCCACCAGAAAATCAGGCTTAAATCCCCAAAGTTCAGCAACCGCATTAGAAACAGATCAGGTGAACCCCACCTGAACTGCATGGACTGAGAGTTGGGGAGGGACAGTCTCAGAGGAAAATGCTAGAACTGTGTATTAGTTGGGGTTCTTCAGAGAAACAAAACCAATGGGGGTGTGTATGTGTGGCCAGCAGGTCAAGACCCAACAAGACTTGATGTTTCAGTTCAGTCCAAGGGCAGGAAAAGACCAATGTCCTAGCTTGGTAAGCAGTGAGGCAGGAGGAGTTCCCTCTTACTCAGCTTTTCCTTCTATTCATATCTTCCATTGGTTGGATGAGGCCCACCCACATTAAGAGGAGCAGTCTGCCTTGCTCAGTCTGCCAATTCAGTTGTTAATCCCATCCAGAACACCCTTATAGACACACCCAGAAAAGGAGTTGGCCAAATGTCTGGGCACCCCATGGCCCAGTCAAGTTGCCACGTAAAGTCAACCATCACAAACTGTACTGGAAGAAGGGGGGATATAGGTCTTGCACTGACAAAACCAAGAGTTGTCCCGTAAGCAACATGGTAGAGTAAGACGTAGCCTTTAAAAAGATGTGGTTGACTTTGTATATCTAGCACAAGCAACTTTTTATTTTAAACTCAGTGTCTCAGTCTGTTTTGTGTTGCTGTAACAAACACCCAAGGCTGGGTAATTTATAAAGAAAAAAAGATTTATTCTGCTCATGATTGTGATGGCTGGAAAGTTCAAGATTGGGCATCTGGGGCGGGCCTTGGGCTGCTTCCATGTGACGGGGAGCTGGCACGGCAGAAACTGCATGGCGAGGAGGAAGTCGGGGAGGGCAGGATCTTTGCAACAGTCAGCTCTCGTGGGAACTCATAGAGCGAGAACTCACCTTGAGGGAGGGCATGCATCCATTTGTCAGGCATTCGCCCCACAATCCAGACACCTCTCATTAGGCCCCACCCCCAACAGTGAGAACCAGATTTCAACATGAGGTTTGAAGGAGTCAGATATCCAAACCAAAGCACTCAGTTAAACTTCATGACAACCCTTTGTGGTGCAGACTATTATTTTTATTATTTTTTACAAATGGAGAAGTCAAAGTACAGAGTACAGAGAACTTCCATGACTTGCCCAAGACTGGATGGCCACCAAAAGGTTGAGCTGGCATTTGAACCCAGGCCACCTGGCTCCAGAGCTAATGCCCTGAGCCACTATTAAAGTGTAAAAACCTGGGTGCCCAACAGGAGGTACAGTGTGATGTCTCTGTGCAAAACAAGAGCCCCTTCCCTGTCCACAAATGTTTACCTAGGTATTTAAAGAAAATGATTTGGAATGATGGGTAAGGAACTTTACTAGTGGTTACTTCTGGGCAGTTACTTCTGGGTTTGGGAGACTGGAAAGAAATGTGGATGACTGGGTTGGGTTCTTTTCACACCATTCCATAGTGTTTGGCATTTTTACTATGAGCATGATTTAGTTTTATAAGTTAAAAATATCATCGTAATGGATGGGTTGTTTCAAATTGCACCCACAATTGAAATCTCTGACCCCAGAGTCTGCACCTCTAACCTGCAATCTCTGTGGCTTTTTCCCATGTCCATAGGTGATGCTGGCAGGCTATGGCTTCACCTTCCGCTACTGCCCAAGTGGCAAACACGTGGCCTATGTGGAAGGCAGCAGGAGCCCACACGAGGGAGATCTTGAGTTCATTAGCATGGACCTGCATAAGGGATGCGGTATGCGGCCAGAGGAGGGGTTCAGTACCATGGGGGGACAAGCTTCTCATACAAAGGCAGCTCTAGGGGTTCACAACCACAAACAGTGGGCGCCAGACACAGAAGGGGTGCTAAGGGCGCCATGCTTAGGAATTGGGGACGTGAACAGCATCCGGGCCACTGAGGGAGTGATGGGGCAGCGGTTCAGCACCGAGGACAGCGGGGAAGCTGGGCACTGGGAGCCCTGGGTTTCAGAGGTTGGGATTCAGGATCTGGTGTGAACTTGGGAGATGAGAGTTGCCTAAGCATGATCCAGGAGGGGCTGCTGAGGAGGTGGTTGTCTCAGCATCCAGAGCATGGTAGCATGGACACTGGGGTGTAGGATCTCAGGAGTTATCAGCCTAAGCCCTAGGAAAGGATGAGCTTATGGGGGAAGAGGTCCCAGGGCAGATCCCTTGAGCCCCTCTTTCTCAAATCCCTTTATACCATGGCCATCCATGTGCCTGCCAGTGTCCACCCACCAGGCTGAGCTCCCCAGGCCAGGGATGGCACCTCTGCCCCCAGCATCCAGTGACAGAAGATCAGCACTGTCACCAACTCAGGGCACATTGAATGCTTACACAGAGTTATGTAAGGAGATGTGAGGAAAATAAAGCCTCATAGTCTCCTTCATCCTCCCCCACTGAGGCTAGGTTTGGTACCCATCCTTCTGGGCTCCCTGTGTCCTGTTCTGTCTCCTTGGTAGCTCAGGGAATCCTGCACTGTAACCATCTCTCTCCGAGACTGTCAAGAGCTGGGACCCAACACAACTTTTGTCTGGGTTTTCAGAACACGAGATAGGATCTGGCACACGGGTGCTGAGGATTCGTTGAATGAGCGCATGAATGAAAGGCGATGTGGGAGTGAGCTAGTGAAGGAGCAGGTGAAGGGAGGCTGAGCAAGTGAAGAGTGAGAGAGTGAGAGGAAGCGAATGGCAATTGAGTGATCGGGCCAGACAGCCCATATGGCTGAATGGCTGAGGGCACGAGTGCATGGTTAAGTCAGTAAGAGAGAAAAAAGGAAAGGGGCAGGCCTGTCAGTGAGTGGAGCATCTAGACTGAGCTGCCACCTCTTCCTCTCCCTCCCCAGGGCCCTCCCGCCGCAGTGACCTCCAGACCCTGGGATACTGCATGCTGAAGTGGCTCTGTGGGTTTCTGCCATGGACAGACTGCCTTCCCAACACTGAGGACATCATGAAGCAGAAGCAGAAGTGAGTCTGGGGTCAGCAGAACCCAGCGCTGGCCCAGCACCCCTGCAGGCAGGGCAGAAGCCCAGGACCCAGCAGGGAGCAGGAAGGAAGGGGAGGTAGCGTTCGAGAGAGCTAGATGCCTCTCGATTCTCAGGCGCATGCTCCGCTGCCCATTCCAGCAGGCAAGAGCGTGGGCTCTGGAGCCACCTTTGTGGGTGCTGGGTGAGCAGCTTAACCTCACGAGCCACAGTGTCCTCCTCTGTGAGGTGGTGTCCTGTTAGCACCTGCCTCCCAGGGCTCTGGAAGGCTTTGGGGGAATCAAGTACTCACAGTACTCAGCACAGGACCTGGCCCATAGAAAGTGCTCATTGTGTTTTATTCACAAACATGAGCGACCTGACAGGTTAGGCCCAGGCCCTGCCTCGGGGTCTGGCACCACCAGCCACCCAGTGTCCATGCCACCAGTATCAGTGTCCTTACCTCTCTGTGTGAAACCAGCAGGTCTTGCCAGTTGTGTTTCACCACTCAGCACCGAGGACAGTGGGCGGGGGACACATGGGGAAGTTCTGGGATGGTATTCAGCACCAAGGACAGCGTGCAGTCGACCACAAAGGGAAGTACATGGGGTGAGAGTTCAGCACCAAGGACAGCGGGCAGCTGGATGCAGGGAAGCCCTGCAGTGCAGGTCCAGAGGTCGGGATTCAGCACCTAGTGTGGACTTGAGGATCTGCCGAAGAGTCATCTAGGAGGGGCTGTCCACGTCTGAACTGGGGGATTGAAGTCTAAATGGACCTCACACCTCAGGGGCATCTCAGGAGTTGTCAGCTAATGCCCCAGGAGAGGATGAGATTATCTGGGAAAATGTATGAAGTGGGAAGAGGGAACTTTCCAGTAAACAGCACTGAGTCCGTCATACTTCCCAGTTTTTAGCATGCCATGTCACTTGTTCATGTTGAGCCTTTCTTATTTTACTCTGCCCCTTTTGTATCTCCTTCCTTCCTTCTCTCAATCATGGACAGCCATACAGACACACTTAATGTATGTTCTACTGATATGTTCGCTTAGATGTATTTGTATCCTTAAAATTGCATGGTGGTGCTATGTGCGATCTGCATAAATGATGCTCTGCTCTGTATCTTATCTGCTTCCGGCTCTTTCCAACTTTAACCACATCTTTACACATGCGTTGAGTTCGCTATTTCTGACTCCTACTTCTAAATCGGTTTTGTACAGACATGGGTGTCTTTGAACAATACTGTGTGTGTTTAATTTGCATAAATGGTACTATGCTCTAAATCCCATTCTGTTTCTTGCTTTCATTCAGTGCTGTTTTTTTAAACTTTAGCCACATTGCTGTTTCACTGTCTCTGAGTACTTCTCCTAAATTCATTTAGATGTATCTATGTCCTTTAAAATTATGTGATGTTGGGTATGTGTTAGATTGGCACAAATGGTACCGTGTCCTGGATTGTATCCTCTAGGTTTCAGCTTAATTGTCACTCTCCCAGGGAGCCCCTCCACGTCCCACTACATCAGATCTCCTGCTTGTACCTGCTCAGAGGAAGGAATGTGTCCTCACCATGCTGGGCTATTTATAGTGACACTGTCTGCATTGGGCATTGCACCCGGTACTTCCCTTTGTCATTCTCAGAACACCTGAGCTGAGTGCTCTTATGATCTGAGGCACAGAGGGCTTAGGTAGCCAGCCCAGGTCCACAGCTACTGAGTAGAAGCGCTTGGGCTCAAACCCAGGCCACTCAACTCCAAAGACAGCCCCTCTCCCTTCAATGCCTTTTCCCAAGCACAGGAGCCTTATCATGGGTGGATTAGTGGTGCCTGGATACAGCCTGCCTTTACTCAAATGCTTACTGAGCACCTACTATGTGCCAGGCTCTGTTCTTATCCCTGGGGACATAGCAGTAGACAAGGCAAAACTCCCTTCCTCAGGGAGCTCACATCCTACCGGGGGAGATGGACAGTAAGGAGCTAAAGGCTGAAACACACAGCATGCCAGATATCAGACCGATGGTAGCCATGGAGCCAGACCCCTGGGTGTCCACCAGTGAGACTGTCACAGTGTGGACGTGCACCACACTTTTAGGTTTGATGTCCAGGGAAAGTCTCTGGCAACAATGGCAGGCGAATGGAGCATGTCTCAGTATAGCCCTGACATGCTCCTAACATCATAAAGAGAGAGAGACAGAGAGAGGCCTTCAGCTCTCAGGCCTCCACAGGCAACCTCTGCGTTGGAAGCTAGCCGCGCAGAACCCACTAGAACACAAGTCCACTGCCCTATTTTCTTGGAACTTTTTTTTACACTTATTTCAAGTCATGACGGGTGGTGCTGGTTTTCCGCTTATGGTGGTGAGAGTTGCTGTCAAAATGAAGCCTGTTGGAAACAGTGACAGCATGAGTAGGGTTAACACACGGCCTGAGGCTGATGCAGTTTGCGAAGTGCCCCCTTACCCGCTCCGTTGGGTTAGTTAGGGACAGTCCAGGCTGCTTTCACAAGGAGACCCCGAACCACTGCAGTTTAAATGGAGGAGAGGTTCGCTCCTGTCCCACTAGCAGTCCCAAGGCAGGACAGCAGGGGCAGCACACACGTCCTCCTCTGGGTCCGTCCCTCTGTGCTGCTCTCTCCCAGCAACAGAGAGCACAAATCCTGGGTGCTCAAGAAATAGTTGTGGAATGAAAGAATGACTAGGAAATGCACGTGTGTGCCAGCCTAGGCGTCCGTGTGGACACGGAGGGGAGACAGATGCAGCCCCAGCATGGGCGGTTCCCAGGCTGGGAGGAGACACGGAAAACAGGTGCTGCCTGCGAGGGCAGAGGCAGCCTGAGGCATGATGGGAGCCGAGGGAGGGCATGGGACCCTACAGCTGGGGATGGCTGACCCCAGGCTGTACAGAGCACGAGAGCCTCCCTCCCAGGCAGGCTCGGGAGAGGCAAGATTTCTAGGCAGACAGGACAGCACAGAATTGCACTCTCCATTCATTTCACTCAGCACCTGTTTCCTGAGGGCATCCATGTGTCAGTCGTGCTGGAGACCCAGATAAGAATCAGCTAGTACCTCCTGCTGTCCACTCTTAGCAGGGAGATCAGCCCCTAAGGTTCCTCCAGGTTGAATCTTCTCCCCCCTCCACCTCCCCTCGCTCCTAAGAACAGTCGTATCACCCTTTTCACATCTCTCCCACCTAAAGGGACTTTGGATGAATGTGATGTGCTTCACAAAAACAGTCTGCACTGCAATTGTGGGTGGCGCAGGGTAAATAAGTCATGATAATAATTTTAATACCAATGATATCAGCATGGATGACAGTAATTCCAGAGCCCCAGCTCCTCACCACACTGTAGAGGGCAGGTTACATGGAAATGCTCCAGGGAGAGTTGGTGATGTTGAAACTGTACCCTAGATGCCCTGCCCCGCCCCCAGCCCAGCCTCTGTTGCCCACTGGAGGCCATAACCAAAAGGACCAGGAGGGGGCGATGTTGCTACGTGCACGTTTCCTGCCACCCTAACGCGTCCTCAGCAGGGACGTTTTACTGGTGTGCGTGGCCTTTTTCCATTCAATCAACAGGTATTTGTTCATTTTGTGTACATTCCAGTTTGCAAAGGAAGGAAGGAATAAAAGAGGAGAGGCAGTTTCCATCCCCAAGGCTTGTGCAAGGCCCCTGGCTGGGCAAAGCACAAATATGAGTCAGATTTGGCCCCTGCTCTCTAGCTGCATGGCTAGTCGGGGAGATCCCACAGACAGACAGCGACGGTGGCAGAGTTGCTTGTGCAACCTCCTGATGACATAACTCGGGACGAATTGATTTCTCCTGCCTGGAGGGGTTAGGGAAGGATTCCTAGGAGACGGAGCCCTTGAGCTGGGTTTTGAAGGGAGAACAGCCACAAGCCAAGGCTTAGAGGGCAGGGCGAGGAAGGCCGCCCCAGGCAGCGGGAGCAGCTTGTGCAGAGGTAGGAGGATGTGAGTAGACGCATGGCCTGCTGGGGACTAGGCGTAGTTTGGTGTGGCTGGAGCATGAGATGGGAGGAGGGAGTGGGGGAGACGAAACCAGAGGGTGGCCAGGTGGCCATGTGTGTCGGTCTCTACCCTCAAGGCCGGGAGGGGCAGGGCAGCTCTGGCTGTAGAAAGACCCTCTGGGGCCGTATAGGAGATGCAGAGGAGGCCGGGAGGAGGGTGGGCTCCAGGAGAGAGGATGAGGTCTGAGACATGGGATGGGGGGGAGAGTTGGGGAGCAAGAGGGTGGTGCTGGGGGAGACTGGAGGACAGCGAAGGCAAGGATGGTACCCAGTGACTGGGTGGGTGGTGGCGAGCCACCTTGGTGGGCCAGGCCAGAGAAGAAGTGATGTGGCTGGGGCTCACGATGGAGCGGAGGCAGCAGACGAAGTCCTGTTTTCATGAGCGGTCCAGGCGGGACACGCGTGTGTGTTTGCATTATGTGTGTATGTGTATATATGTGTGTGTGTATACAGTTGATCCTCATTATTCACAGATTCCATATTTGTGAATTCTCCTACTCCCTAAAAGCATTTGCAATCCCAAAATCAATTCTCGTGGTGCTTTTGTGGTCATTGCATAGTAGAGACAAATTTAAGTCACCTGCTGCACAAGTTTCCAGCTGAAGGTGGAACCAGGCAGCGCCTCCTCATTGCAGCTCTCATATTATAAACAAGTGTCCTTTTCACTGTCTATTTAATGCTATACTTTTCCCATAAAGTAGCTGCCTAGCACAGTGCTGTCTGATGTTCCTGGGGACAAGGAGACTAATAACACGTGTGGCGGATAAGCTCTGTCCAGGCATGAGTTACAGTGCTGTTGGCTGTGAACTCTTGTCACTTCCTGCTGCCTCAGCATCCATTTGAATATAAGTACGACTTTCTCGTACCGGAAGAAGGGCTCAGTCACCATTGACACAGTTTCGAGTTCCACATCTCCCAGTTCCTCATTGTGGTTGATCCAGATATCTGCCTTATACCATTGCCTCCTGGTGACCCCGTCCCCATGGGACAGCTCGGGACAGCCCACTTGACAGTCCTGCTGGTCCCCATGCCCCACATGGACCATGCAGATAGGCCTCAGTGACCACCTCTTGGGCACAGCATGACCTCCTGGAACTCAAGCCTGTAAGCCAGCATGCTCTAAACCCAACTGAACTGAACTCCCAACTGGGAGTCCAACTGAACCAAGTTGTCCCTATGGGAAACCCTTGGGATACTACCCTGGACCCCAATAAAGGCGTTGGCCCATGGGTGCCCCCCAACATATTCTCTGACCCCTGTATGTGTGTGTGGTTTCCGGGTATGCTGTGTACCTCCTAGGACCTGTCAGTAATAAAATCTTTATTTCCGTCTTGTGTCTGTCCTAATCATCAAAGGGGCCCTCTCCATCTTAAAGACCCTAAATTAAAACAGTTCAATGCTAATGATTTAACAATATTTATTAAATAAGATGTCTTTCACCAGAAGCACACCTAAAACAAGGTTACGTATTGATCAGCTGATGAAATATGACCAAAGGCTCACAGGAACCTAACGCTGTGTTTCTCCTGGGAGCTGGTTCTGGATCGGCAAATTCAGCATTCATGGCAACTACAGAATGTAATGACCGTGACTAACAAGAACCGACTGCATATATATTAGGCGTTCTCTTTTAAAAAGTTGTTCTCCTTTCCCTAAAAGACCTTTCACATGTCTTTCTGTCCCTTCAGGTTTCTTGACAACCCGGAGGCCCTGGTGGGACTGTGTGGTCACTGGATCAGGTCCTCAGGTACGTCCTGAAGGGAGGGGGCCTGGGCGGGATCAGGTGACTTGGGTCCTACGTGGGGTTGCCTCTCTTTGCACCTCTTTGTTTTCTTTCTTAAAAAAAAAAAAAAAACTCTGTCTCTAAACAATAACAAAAATACCCACATACACATAATATTTTAATGGAATCATACTATGCATGTCCATAATATGGATGTGCAACTTAATATCCAACTTTTTTTTAATTTAAGAAGTAATTTTGGTTTGTGCTTAAAAAAATAAAATAGAAAAGAAGTAATCTTGGAGATTTTCTATGTACATTTTGCCAGTTTTTTAAAATTGTCATAAGATACAAATAACGTCAGTATTTTTTAAACTGTGATTATGTCTCATGAGTCAGTCATGAAATCAATTTAATTGGTCAAGCACAAGATTTTTAAAAATTAGAAAGGACCAAAAATCGAGTGCCCGGTAGGAGTTAAGGAAATGTTTGTGAGTGGTGGTTTCAATGATGCGTATTTATATTTCTATGTGTGCATGTGGGTACCAGACCATAATGTAAAATGTGTTTCTAACGTAGGTCTCAGTTTGAAAATATTTGAAAAACACTGGTGTATCTGTCTGTGGTTACGACAAGCCATTGTATGAATTCATTTAACCAGTAATTCATTTAACCAGTTCCTCATTGAAAAACATTTAGATTGTTTCCAACTTTTTGATGTTACAAACACTTTCCTCTTTTTTTCCTTTATTGGGTTTTGGTTTAAATGCCACCATAACATTTGCTTATAAAATAATTTAAACCAAACTGAAACATGTAACATAAAAAGTGAAAGTTCCTGTCCATTCCCGGCCCCCTCCCCCATCATACTTTCAAAAGTAATCTCTGTTAATGTTAATAGTGTGGTGAGTATGTATGTCAGTTACCTACTGCTTCACAACAAACCACCCAAAATCATAGTGGCCTAAAATGATCTGAGCAGACATTTCTCAAAAGAAGACATACAATAAATATATGAAATATATGAAAAAAGGTTCAACATCACTAACCATCAGAGAAATGCAAATCAAAACTACAGTGAGGGATCATCTCACTCCAGGTAGAAGGCTATTACTAGAAAGACAGGAAATACCAAAAGGGAACTCTCATATACTGCTGGTGGGCAGGTAAACTATGGAAAACAGTATGGAGGTTCCTCAAAAAACCACAAATAGAACTGCCATATGGTCTAGCAATCCCACTACTTGGCTTTTAGTCAAAGAAAAGAAAATTAGTATATAGAAGAGATATCCACACCCCCATGTTTATTGCAGCACTATTCACAATAGCTAAGATATGGAATCAACCCAAGTGTCCAACAACAGATGAATGGGTAAAGAAATGTGGTGTATATGTACACAATGGAATATTATTCACCCAAAGAAAAGAATGAAATTCTGTCATTAGCAGCAAAAAAATGGAACTAGGGGACATTATGTTAAGTGAAATAAGCCAGGAACAGAAATTTAAACACCATGTGTTGGCCGGGCGTGGTGGCTCACGCCTGTAATCCTAACACTCTGGGAGGCCGAGGTGGGCGGATTACTCGAGGTCAGGAGTTCGAAACCAGCCTGAGCAAGAGTGAGACACCGTCTCTACTATAAATAGAAAGAAATTAATTGGCCAACTAATATATACAGAAAAAAATGAGCCGGGCATGGTGGCACATGCCTGTAGTCCCAGCTACTCGGGAGGCTGAGGCAGCAGGATCGCTTGAGCCCAGGAGTGTGAGGTTGCTGTGAGCTAGGCTGACGCCACGGCACTCACTCTAGCCTGGGCAACAAGGCGAGATTCTGTCTCAAAAAAAAACACAAAAAACACCACGTATTCTCATATGCAGAAGCTAAAAAAAAAGTTGATCACGTAGAAGTGAAAAATAGAACAGAGGTCACTATAGGCTGGGAAGGGTATGGGGAAGGGAAGGAGAGGGAGGGATTTCTTAAAGGATATAAAATTACAGCTAGATAGGAAGAGTAAGTTCTAGTGTTCTGTAGCACTATTGGATGACTATAGTTAACAATAATTTGTATTTTCAAATAGATAGAAGGAGGATATTCAATGTTCCTAACACAAAGAAATGTTAAGTGTTTGAGATGGTGGATATACTATTTACCCTGATCTGATCACTATACATTGCATGTACTGAAACATCACTATGTGTACCCCATAAGTATGTACAATTATATGTCAATTAAAAAGACATAATGGCCTAAAACAACCCCCATTTTATTCATTTACAATTTTTTGGGATAGCAATTTGGGCTGGGTTCAGCCAGGCAGTTCTTCTGCTGACCTTACCAGGGGACAGTCATGCCAATGCAGCCATCTGGTGGCTCTGCTAGAGCTGGCGGGTTCAAGTGGCTCCTCACTCTCCATGTGGATGGGTGCTGGCTTGCCTCTGGCAGGTCTAGGAGGCGTCAGCTGGGATGGCTCATCCGGTCCGCACGGAGTCACGCATCCTCCAGTGGGGTAGACAGGGCTTCTTCACACGGTCGTCTCGGGACAGCTTCCAAGAGGGCGAGAGTGGAAGCTGCAGCGTATGGGAGTCCCAGAACGTCACCTTTGCCACTTTCTCTGGATCAAAACAAGTGACAGGGTCAGCCCAGACTCCAGAGGCGTGGAAACAGACTCCACCGCAGGATGGGGAAGTGCTCCGTGAGGGGTGGTTTCAGTGACACAGTGTCCCATCACAAAGCGTTCATACAGGGATGAGAGGAGCCGTCACCACCAGCTCTGCAAACAGCCTCCACGGTCTGCTGCCAGTGCTTTTTCTACATACAGAGCAAACATAAATGCGCACACATACTTTGTTTTTTATAAAACTGTTTTCGTATTTAAGAACAAAAATGGGCTCACCCTACATACATCTTGTTCGACCTCCTCTTGCTTTTTTCACTTAACCCTGAGGCTACTCTTCCGAGTCCTTCCTTACACATAAATCCACCGCAGCTAGATTTTTTTGACAGCTGGGCAATATTCATGGTTTGGCTGCAGTATAATTTGTAAAGCCAATCTCTGTCATTGGCTATTCAGATCGGTTTTGTTTGGGAGGTGTTCTTGCTGCTGTCCTTTGCAAACCCCTTCTGAAGAGCTTCTGTATTGCTCTCTGAACTGCAGGCAGAAATGGACAGACGGAAACAGATCGTTTGTCCCCTCTGGCTCTGTAAAGGCTCATTTTTGAGATATATTAAATCCCCAGGGTTCAAATCATGGATCAGCTGCTCAATTCACGCTCTCCTCCTGGTCGGATGAGCCTCACATGTTTAAAGCCAATCAACGGGGGTTGACGGTGGGGCGGGGCCTGTTGGGGGCGGGGCCTGAGTGAGGACGTTGCTTCCTTGGGTCCTGTGGTCAGAGCTGCACATACCAGCCCAGAGACCTTCAGTGGGTAAATGGGCCCCCTCTGAGCCTCGGCTTCCTGTGTATAAAAGGAGGCCCGTACTAGCCCCGCCTCCAGGGTTGTCCCAGGGATCTAGTGCAGAACCTTCTGCTCATTGCTGGGCCCAGGCAAGAGCTCAGGACGTGCTCCATGCAGACTGTGGCCTGCAGCAGGTATTCCCCAAGTAGGGGCCATTGTGATGATTGTTGTTGGCATCATAATTGGCACTTTTTTTTTTGAGACAGAGTTTCGCTTTGTTGCCCAGGCTAGAGTGAGTGCCGTGGCGTCAGCCTAGCTCACAGCAACCTCAAACTCCTGGGCTCAAGCAATCCTTCTGCCTCAGCCTCCCAAGTAGCTGGGACTACAGGCATGCGCCACCATGCCCGGCTAATTTTTTATATATATATCAGTTGGCCAATTAATTTCTTTGTATTTATAGTAGAGACGGGGTCTTGCTCTTGCTCAGGCTGGTTTTGAACTCCTGACCTTGAGCAATCCGCCCGCCTCAGCCTCCCAAGAGCTAGGATTACAGGCGTGAGCCACCGCGCCCGGCTGGCACTTTTTTTTTATACCTAAGCTTACACCTCACAATGTAATAATAGGCACTTTTATTTTAAAAGTATGACAATAGTATTGTGTTAATTAAGAGGAGAAAAGGGAGAGAGAGCCTTTTTCTTTTCTTTTCTTTTCTTTTTTTTTGAAACAGAGTCTCACTTTGTTGCCCAGGCTAGAGTGAGTGCCGTAGCGTCAGCCTAGCTCACAGCAACCTCAAACTCCTGGGCTCAAGCGATCCTCCTGCCTCAGCCTCCCGAGTAGCTGGGACTACAGGCATGCGCCACCATGCCCGGCTAATTTTTTCTATGTATATTAGTTGACCAATTAATTTCTTTCTATTTATAGTAGAGACGGGGTCTTGTTCTTGCTCAGGCTGGTTTCGAACTCCTGACCTCGAGCGATCCACCCAGTTCAGCCTCCCAGAGTGCTAGGATTATAGGCATGAGCCACCGCACCCAGCCCTTTTTTAAAAAAAAAAAGGAGACGAGGTCTTGCTCTGTGGCCCAGGCTGGAGTGCAGTGGCATGATCACAGCTCACTGCAGCCTTGGTCTCCTGGACTCAAGCGATCCTCCAGCCTCAGCTTCCCAAAGTGCTGGGATTACAGGTATGAGCCTCTGCACCCGGCCTACCTTTTAAAGTCGGCGTCAGTAAACTATGTCCTGCGGGCTGGCCCTCTGTTTTGGTACTGCTAGTGAACTAAGAATTGTTTTACATTTTTAAACTGTTGAAAATTTTTCAAAAGAAGAGCAGCATCTCATAGCCTAGAACTTACGTGAAACTCCAGCTGGGGCGCCCATCAGTAAAGCGTGCTGGCGCTCAGCCACGCCCAGCCACTCAGCGGCTGTCTATGGCTGCTTGTGTGCGACATCAGCTGAGTTGGCCACCTGGCCTGCACCTGCAAAGCCAAAGACATTTCCTGTCTGGCACTTCACTGTAGAGTTTTCCTGGGCCCCATTTACACACAGGCAAATGACATTGCTAGTTGGGATTTCCTTTAAAACCGTGCAGGACGGGGAAGCAGCAGAGGTTTCCATGAAACGAGACTGGCTGTGAGGCGGTCACTGTTGAAACTGAGTGGTGGGTCCTTGGGTGTCATATCCTACTGGTGCCTATGTTTGTTGTTGTCAAAAATTGAAAGAAAGGCCAGGTGAGGTGGCTCACACCTGTAATCCTAGCTCTCTGGGATGCCGAGGTGGGCGGATTGTTTGAGCTCAGAAGTTCAAGACCAGCCTGAGCAAGAGCGAGACCCCATCTCTACTAAAAATAAAAATAAAAAAAAAGTTAATTGGCCAACTGAAAATGGAAAAAAAAAATAATAAAGGAATAAAAAAAAATTTAAAAAAAAAAAAAAAGGTCAGGAGTTCGAAACCAGCCTGAGCAAGAGCGAGACCCAATTGGCCAACTTCCATATCATTAAGGAAAAAATTAGCCGGCAAGGTGCGCATGCGTGTAGGTCCAGCTACCTCGGGAGGCTGGGAGGCAGGAAGGATCGCTTGAGCCCAGGAGTTTTGAGGTTACTGTAAGCGTAGGCTGACGCCCTGGCCACTCACTCTTAGCCTGGGCAACAAAGTGAGGACTCTGTAAAAAAAAAAAAAATTGAAAGAAAAAAAAGTTTAAGTCCTCTGGCAATGGAGGGCAGAGACTGAGCAAATGGGCCCTGTTGCTGAGACCCTCATGCCCCTGCCCGGCCCCCTCTGGGTACAATCCCCCAGGCTTGGGGTTGGGGGCATCTCTCAGGCCTCTCCCTTGCTCCACAGAGACCCTACAGGAGTACCTGAAGGTGGTGATGGCCCTCAAGTATGACGAGAAGCCACCCTATGCCATGCTGAGGAACAATCTAGAAGTCCTCCTCCAGGATCTGCGAGCGTCACCCTACGACCCCATTGACCTCCATATGGTGCCATAGATGGAATCTAGGTGGGAAGAGTTTGGGAGTTTTAACCCTTCTCCCCACCCCAGCCCTGCCTCAGCCCTGCCCCAGGTACCAACGGGGGTGTTCACACCAGGGCCCGGCTTCCCAGTTAGATGCTGGACTTTTCCACAGGTTCTTGAACTTTCCAACCCCCAGGAATGGCAAATAGCAGAAACCCGACTCAACTTGGCTTCAAGAAAAGGGGGGTCGATTGGCTGTTGTAGCTAGAAAATTCTAAGAGGGGAAGAAGCTTCAGGCATGATTAGATTCAGAGCCTCAGAATTAGCATCAAATTGTTGGTATCTGTCTCTCACCTTCTTCCGCTGTCCCTTGTTGTGTCCGTCCTCCCTCCCTCCGGCCGTCCACCCATGCCCCGCAGCCTCTGCTTTCCTCTGGGCTGCCCTCCCCGTCCCCGCCCCACACAGAAGTCAGCCATTGTGCCCTGTGCCGTGTCTGCTCCTCTCAGGTCACAGAACTTCTTGCAGCTCTTCCCTTGTTGGCACAGAATGTCCCCAATCTTGTCACAGCAGCGCAGTCCTCCATCGTGTGTGTGGGGACACTCTGCACGAAGGGTGAAGATGCTGCTCAACATCCTACAACACCCGGCGTGGCCCCACCTCTGTCCCCAACAGAGAGTCACCAGCCCCTGGTGTCAGCCGCGCCCCTGTTCAGAATAGTATCTCCTCGGGTGGCCCGTCTCCCTTTGTGGGCACTTGGATGACAAGCGCTTCTTCCTTCTCTCCACCTGTCCTTACATCCAAGGCTGAAATTGTGAGAGGACGCTATATGCAAGGCACTTGGCCCGGTGCCCGCGCACAGAGCCCGCCGGGCGTTTTTCTCTGTGGCAGCAGCGTGGCAGGCCCGCACCTTAACCGGACACTGTCCAAAAGCGAAGTCGCGCCTTCTACGCCCGCCTCCTCCTCCCCCGCCTCTCCAGCTCAGTAGATGGCTCGTCCTCCGCCCACCCAGCTGTCCAGGCCAGACACCTCGGGGTCCCTTCGGTGGCCGCCTCCAGGTCTCCGGTTCCGGATGAGGCCAACTGCAGTCACTTGTCATGGTCACCCCCTGGCAGTGAGCTCTGTGCCTGTCATTTCTGTGTTTCTGGCAAAAGCCAGAGGCTGCCTCCGTGTTTATCGATGGGGTGAGTCCAGGTGTCCTGCCAGTGCCACCCTGTCTTAAGTGCTTTTCAGTCCACCCAGGACGGTGGACATTTAAACCTCAAAACTTAGCAGCCCCTTCCGGGGTCACCACCGTTTCAGGTCTGCTTACCCCCCGGGGGGCCACTCACTCCGTAGTAGATGTGTCCCTCGGTTGGGAACTTAATTCGGAGATGCCATTTCAGGAGCCCAGTGATTGTCGAGTGACTTGAAGATCATCTTGCCTCTGCTCTGGGGCAGCTCCTTGCCTCGGCCTGCACGGCTGAGCCCCCCTGCTCCCCTCACGTGCCGGCCACGCCATCCTCCCTCCAGCTCCACACCAGGCCGGCTGGACTCGTTTGCACCTGGCCTTCTGGCCCCCGAGTTCACACTCTGGCTCCTCCCCAGGTCACCCCCGGAGGTGCCACCTCACCACCGGCCCACCCACTTGATTGTCATGTCACCTATTTCCTGCACAGCCCTTGTTCCTGTCTGGAGGGAAGCACGCGTTTAGTTCGTGCTGTCTCCTCTCCCTTCTCTATGTTATAAGCCCTGCAGGGGCTCCTTGTCCCTCTGGCTCACAGTGACGTCCAGGGCGTCTGGTGCTTGGCATGTAGTAAGGACACAGAGTGTGTTTCTTGAATGAATGAGACGCTAACAGCCATTTTTTTATTTTCCAGAACTTTCACTTTGCAGTTTGCAATAGAAAAAAAAAAGAAAAAATGAAGCAATGTGACTCAAGGCTTGCTGTTTAATCACAGAGAAGCTTCTAGAACAATCCCTGGAATGTGCATTCCTGCCACTTGTTCAGGCGATACTCATCAGTCCTGAGGAGTGTCAGGGAACCCGGCAGCTACCTACAGCTAATGTGAAGTTTCTCCTTTCCACCGGCCCTGTCTCTCAGCTGTCGTCCCCAGCCAGCCGCTGGGGTGTGGACGGGGAGGATTCCAACTCCCAGATGGGACTACCCCGGGCCCACGGGGGGACCCCTCCTCCCACTGGCACCACCGTGCTTTGGTAATAAATTGTTTTTGTGGAGCTTGGGAAGTCCAGTGTCTGCAGAAGTTATTTGGGGGAAAGTTTAGCTCCTTTTTTGCTCATTCATCTGTCCCTTCAGACTTTCATCTGAGTATCCACCCTTTTGTTCATCTATTAAAACTCTCAGGCACCCACTCATCCACCATTCTTCCACGTGTCCACCCCCCCACCCTTTCATCCCCCCATCCATCCCTTCAACCTCTCATCCATCCATCCCCCATCCATCCCTTCAACCTCTCATCCATCCATCCCCCCATCCATCCCTTCAACCTCTCATCCCCCCATCCATCCCTTCAACCTCTCATCCATCCATCCCTTCAACCTCTTATCCATCCATCCCCCCATCCATCCCTTCAACCTCTCATCCATCCATCCCCCATCCATCCCTTCAACCTCTCATCCATCCATCCCCCATCCATCCCTTCAATCTCTCATCCATCCATCCCCCCATCCATCCCTTCAACCTCTCATCCATCCATCCCCCATCCATCCCTTCAACCTCTCATCCATCCATCCCCCATCCATCCCTTCAACCTCTCATCCATCCATCCACCCCCTCATTTACCCAAACCTTCGTGTGCACACGCATTCATCCAGCCTTCCACTCACCTCTCCATCCTCACATTCTCCCACCCACCCTTTCATCCATTCCTCCTTCCATCCATCCATTCTTTCATCCATCCATCCATCCATTGCTCATTCTTCCTTCTCCTTCCCCTTACTCTCTTCTGTACACTTACCTTTCATCCTGCAAGCACTCGCCAGGTGCATCTTGTGCACATGCTCCGTGGCAGCCACAGCGCTGCGTGGAGGCTCCCGGTGGACAAGACATCCCGGGTCCCTGTGCTGCTGATGTGTACAGCCAGGAAAAGGAGATGGCATTTAAATCGGACAGCTTTCTGAGGAACAGACACGGGGCTGTGCTAGAGAGGGAGGGGCACAGGGATGGGGGCTTCTCTGGGGAGAGCCTGGGCACAGAGACGGGGCAACAGTCGCGATTGCTACCCTAGGGTGGTTTGAATTTGCTGCACAACAAATCCTAAAACGTGGTGGCTTGAAGCAACAATTTATTATTTCTCACGATCCTGTGGGTGGCCTGGGTTCGACTGGGTAGATCTGCTCTATGAGGTGTTAGGACTCATTTGGCTGCAATTCAGCGAGGAGATTGGGATGGAGAGTCCAGATGGCCTCTTCCCCGACTGGCACTCCCCCTGGAGTGCCTTGAAGGGGAGGTTGGCTGGACTTTCTCTCTCCAGCAGGGTAGTTAGACTTATGTGAAGGCTCATAGCTCCAAGAGAACAAAAGCAGAAGCCAGCTAGGTGCCATGGCTCACACCGGTAATCCTAGCACTCTGGGAGGCCAAGGCAGGAGGATCACTTGATGTCAGGAATTCGAGACCAGCCTGAGCAAGAGCAAAAACCTGTCTCTGTTAAAAATAGAAAAATGAGTCGGGCATTGTGGCACATACCTGTTTGAACTGAGCAATTAAAGGGTTTGGGGGCTTTATTGCCCTTCAATATTCTTAATCCTCTCATATTCCAGACCCCACTAACTCTCTTTAACAAATGATACTGAGAATCCTTAGTTTATTTATGTGAATCACAGAAATCATACTTTAATTATGAAGAAAAGGCCCTCAAAATTCTTGGCTTTTAAAATAATCCATAGTTTTATCTACCAGTGAGGTATTTTTTAAAATAATCAATAGAAACCCATTCCATTTTTTTTATAGTTTCCAATATTTAACAGGATTGTGCAAATTTCAAGAACAGAAAACAGTGTTAAGTGCGCCTTTGCTTTCAAGAACTTGTTAAATGTGTTAAAGAATTGATGAAAAATGTATCTCTGAGTGTCAAGGCAAGGGACCTTAGAACAGGAAAAGAAATTCTCGATTTCTCAAAGTGCATAATTATTGCAGCATTTGCCATGACTATGTTTTGAAAATATTTTATCCCTTGCCAAGTTGGATTCTTTTATGCATACGTTACTAGACACTGTAGCAGCAGGAGCAGTGCAGTTTTGAAAAGGAACAACAATTGACAACAGTGCTCTTTTTTTTCATTGCTGGGCACTGTTTTTAAAACATCGTTGATCAGGCCGGGCGTGATGGCTCACGCCTGTAATCCTAGCACTCTGGGAGGCCGAGGCGGGCAGATTGCTCAAGGTCAGGAGTTTGAAACCAGCCTGAGCAAGAGCGAGACCCCGTCTCTACTAAAAAATTAGAAATTAATTTGGTCAAGTAAAAATATATAGAAAAAATTAGCCGGGTATGGTGGCGCATGCCTGTAGTCCCAGCTACTCTAGAGGCTGAGGCAGGAGGATCGCTTGAGCCCAGGAGTGTGAGGTTGCCGTGAGCTAGGCTGACGCCATGACACTCTAGCCGGGGTAACAGAGTGAGACTCTGTCTTCAAAAAAAAAGACACCTGCACTCGAATGTTTATAGCAGCACGATTCACAATTGCAAAGATGTGGAAACAACCGAAGTGCCCATCAATATATGAGTGGATTAATAAAATGTGGTATATGCATACCATGGAGTACTATTCAGCTCTAAGAAACAATGGTGATCTAGCACCTCTTGTGTTTTCCTGGATAGAGCTGGAACCCATTCTACTAAGTGAAGTATCCCAAGAATGGAAAAATAAGCGCCACATGTACTCACCAGCAAATTGGTACTAACTGATCAACACCTAAGTGGACCTACAGGAATAACATTTGTCGGGCAGATGGGAGGGGGAGGAGGGGATGGGTATATACACACATGATGAGTGCAATGCACACCGTCCGGGGGATGGACACGCTTGAAGCTCTGACTCCGGGGGGGAAGGGGGAAAAGGCAACATACATAACCTAAACATTTGTATCCCCATAATATGCTGAAATACAAAAAAAAAATCGTTGATCAAGAGATGCAACCTAATCCTGAGGGCTGGAAAAGCAAGTTCTGTTATGAAAGGTGCACTTCCGTGTCTCAGCGAGTGAGACGTGCAGAGCACGTGACCAACACGACCAGCATCCTCCACTCTGCCGGTCCCTGTGCGGTCTACCGGCCGTGAGCGCTCACGTGCATGCATTTTCTCACTAATGAACGTTCCATGGAAAAATGGACAAAAGACATTGGATGGGACCACCGCAAAAAACACATTCAAATGTGAACAGAGCACAAACCGCCACTGCAAGGAATTTTATGAGCGAATCCTGCAAAAAGATTATAATTATTATTATAATTATCTCCTTAAATTATTAAGGAGAAGCAAATCATCAAGGAAATATAATTAAAGAAAGACCTGTGTCATTTAGATACTTATAATTTATATCAGATAAGCAATGAATGGTTTGTGTGTGTGTGGTAGAATACACAGGTTGGGTTCCCGGGGAGACATACTAGCAGCAGGGTGTCTGATGCCCCAGGGACCAGCGGGGACGGGGCAGGGAAGCAGGTGGGCAGAGACAGAGTGAAGCCACAACTGCCCTGCAGAGCGTCCCCACGTGGGCCTGGCTGGTCAGACTTTTACACCTAGTGGGCCGTTCCAGGAGGAGGTGTGGCCGGGTGAGGGCTGTCTACAGACGCCTGTGTCGGAAGCTTTCTGTTGATTATCCCCTTCCTGCCCCACCAGAGCCCTGCGAATGAGGCCTGTTGTGTCCCATGACAGAGCGGGAAACTGAGGACTACAGCAACTTGCTCACACTCAGGCTCCTGATGGGGGCTGGGGCTGACCTACGAGCCCAGTGCTGCCCTCACGACACTGTGAGACTCCCCGGGCTACCAGGTCTCCTGTTTACACGGAGAACTGTCACTCGGGAACTGTCCCTGACATCTCCCTCCCCAGGGACGCCCTGGCTCTACTGGAGGTCGCAGGTTGTCACTCGTAGGTCTTGATCTCTGAGTACTCGGTGAAGCCGATGGCCTCCTGCTCCTGAGACCTCCGGGGCCTCAGCCCACAGAAGCTGAGCGAGGCGTAATGGAGCTCCTGCTCCTCCTCCGAGGTGGCGGTGGCCCCAGGAGGCTCCTTTCTGTCGCCCCGAATGCAGGGGAGCAAAGGGGGTCAAATTAGGATGACGGTGCCTGGGGGAGAGCAGGGAGGATCCACAGGTGAACCCAGAAACCAAGCACAGAGTCTCTCATCTATGCATTCCAGAAACGCTGGCGGGGCCCTCCTTCGTTCATTCATTCATACATTCACTCAGCAAACACGTGGCAGTACCGACGCCTGGCCCTTGGCAGTGATTGCCGGTCTCATAAACTCCTCACAGCAATCCACTGGGGAGACGCTACTATCCCATTTACCGGGTGGAGAAACTGAGGCAAAGTAAATGCCCCAACCACACATCTAATTAGTGGTCAGGCTGAGAGTCATTGCAAGGTTTGACACTGGTGCCTGCCGTGGTCTGGAGCAGCTCCCCTGTGCCACCCCTGAACATTCAGGGAAACTGAGCAGACACCATCCCTGCCCTCATGCAGCTGCAGAGTGGAGAGAGAAGCTGACAGTAAGGAATAGTCAATGAAGTTACTATCTAATTGCAAATTGTGATAGGATGCACAGGAGCTGGGTGGTATGAGAGGACACGAGTTTGCTCAGATCTGGGCTGCCCTCAGGGACCACAGAAGATCAGTTATTCAAACACAGTTGACAAATTGAACCATGAGCCCAAGACACAGAGGACACAGTGCAGTGAAAGACTTAGCTTGCCCAAAGCAAGGGCTGACCCTTTGTGCCCAGCTGCTGGGAGGGAGTCCCTAACTTAAGCCCTTGCAACGTCCTTAAGCCTGGTAGGAGTATTTGTTCACCTGGGAGCCACAGGCCATGCCACACAGTCCGTGTCAGCAGTGTGACTTACAGCGGGGGCTGTGGGCCATGTGGCAACACTTTGACTCTGGGTGGCTGGAGGCGGAGGAGCTGAGGTCAGTCACACAGGTGCTCCCTGCCCATGTGGCTCACCTAACAAACGGGGACACTGAGGCTCAGGTGAGTTTCCCTGGCAATACTTCATGCATGTTGTCACTCGAAGTTGCAGAGAGAAGTAAGGGCCATCTGAGTGACTCCACTAGGAGAGGACAGTGGGAAGCTCCGGGCTTGGTCTCTCCTAGACTCTGCCCCATCAGCCTCTTCCTGTCACTGATTTTCATCTGAATCCATTCACTGTATAAAATATCAGGGGCAGGCTTGGTGGCGCACGCCTGTGGTCCCGGCTACTCGAGAGGCTGAGGCAGGAGGATGGCTTGAGCCCACTGGTTCGAGGTTGCAATGAGCTATGATTGCACCACTGCACCCCAGCCTGGGCACCCAAAGCAAGACCCTGTTGCTTAAAATAAAATCCGCTGTCACCATGGTATAACAGCTTTCAGTGAGTTCTCTGAGTCCTTCTAGTGAATTAGCAAACCCGAGAGTGCTCGTGGGGACCACCTAACGTGTAGATGGTAAAACAAGTGAGGGTGGTCTTGGGGACCCCCAAGCTTTCTAGTAGACCCTAATTATTCTGGAGAGATCTCTCTGGTATCCTGTATTTAGGAAGAGAGACAGGAAGGAGGGGGAAGGAGAGGTCAGGGGTCTGCAGAGTAATGAGGAATAGGGTAGGAAGGTCCAATGGAGCTGAGCACAGGCAGGTGACACCTGCGTGGCCCTCGGCTCTGTGGCGGACATGGGGACCAGTGGGGAGGGTGGCCTCCAGGTCACGGGACTGGGATCTGCACTGATGGGGACCCAGGAGGCACAGCCGATTTGGGGCATGATGATCCTCTAAGTCACCAGTTGGAATGTGGCCTCCCCAGATGGGACCCTGGCAGACAGAGGGCTCCTCACTCACCTGGGAGAGGGGACCCAGGGCGGAGGGTGCGTCCTTCCTGCAGGTCTTCACCCTGAGGGAGGGGCCACGACCTTTCAGCCCCCGCTGGCTCAGAGCCTGGGGGGACTCTTAACCCCCTGCTCAAAAGTTAGAAGGCTGCCCAGGCCATGGAAGTGAGGACACATCTAACCAGGTGACTTCCATGATGAGAACAGGTGACCCTCTCAGGTGGTGGGATCAGAGGTGGGAACAGACCCCTGCTCTGATCCCAATTCTCCGGACCCCGCCCTGGCCAGGTTCCCCCAGCGGGACTGGGCGGGATTCCAGGACCCCCAGCCCTCCGCCACCCCTCACCTGTCCCCCAGGGACCACACTCACCTGAGCAAGGCCAGGCAGCAGCAGAGAGACAGCAGGGCAGCAACACCGGCCCCCACCACGGCCCCCAGTGCGAATCCTCCCCTGGGCTCTGGCTTCCCTGCAGACCAGAGGCGCAGGGTGACGCCCCTCCGAGTCCCCTCCCCCCACAGAACTTGAGCTCTGGGGTTCTCCCTCCAGCAGCCCCAGAGCAGGACCTCTCCCCCTCCCCGTCCCACCAGGCCGCCCGCCCCACCCCGAGCTCCCCCAGCGCGGCAGGCTCCTCCCTCCCGGGCCCCAGCCCCGCGGGACTGACCTGGCAGCAGCAGGACGGCGCCGCTCCGCGTCCCGTGCACGTTCCAGGCCTCGCAGCTGAGCCTGAGGCCGGAGCTGAGGTGCCCTGGGAGGCTCAGGGAGCTGTTGGCCCAGGGCCCGGCTGCGCTGGGGGTGTCCGAGAAGGAGCCCTGGCTGCCGGTCCCCTCCCGCAGCCCCTCCCCCAGCCGCCAGCGCAGGGAGGGGGCGGGCTGGGCGCGGGAGCAGCAGCTGCAGCGCAGCCCCTCGGCCTCCCAGGAGCAGGAGGGGCCCAGCAGCTGCGGGGGGTCTGCGGGGACAGAGGACCGCGCTCAGCACGGGCTTCTCCCCTCCTTATACCTTGGGGTTCTGGCCCCAGGTTCCCCCGAACTCACAGTGCACAGAGAGGCTCAGCGAGACGCGCCGGGAGCCCAGGGCGTGCTGGGCGCGCAGGTGAATTCTCCTCCTCCTGCAGACAGCCCCGGGGCTGCTCCAGGATCCCGGTGTTGGAGATGGGGGTGGCGTTCGGGGCTGGGGACCCCTGGAACCAGCTCAGGCGGGCAGGGGGGCTGCTGTCAGCGGCCCAGAGCAGCCGCAGGGCCTGGCCCTCCAGGACGGGGAGGGACGAGGTGTTTTGCAGGATCTTGAGGACTTTGGGGACAGGGTGCAGAGAGAGACAGACATGGGCTTGGGGTGAGGGGCTGGTGTCCCTCTCCTTCCGGGGGTGTCCATACTAGCTCTGAGGAGGGCCCTAGCAGAGTCCGGGCGTCAGGCCTTGGGGAGCCCAGACCACTTCCCTGGCGCTGCCCAGGCCACCCGGCAGAGGGAAGACAGAGGGCTGGGGACGAGGTGGCAAACGAACGTCGTCCGTGGACAGAGCTAGCGCCTGCGACAGCCGACAAAGGCACAGGTCGCAGAGAAGGTGGGAACAGGCTGTGGCAGCTGTCCTTGGGTTTGGCCACAGCAGCCGTGAGGGGAGTAAAACAGGAAGTTCAGGGTGAGGGTGTTGGCGGGGCCCTGTCCCTCGCTGTCCCCGAGTCTGACCTCAGACCTGCTTCCCGCACCCCGAGTCCCGCCTGCCCGCTCAGCCCAGCGCTGAGACCCAGCCTGGGCCTGTCCTAGCGGAGACCCTCGTCCACCCCAGCCCTGGAGGGTCAGGACACGCTCGTTCCTACCTGTGCAGTTTGCTTGGAAGATGCTGACGGCCAGGTTCTGGGGAGCACCTGGGACAGAAAGATGTGGCAGCCCGGACATCCCTGGCCTTCCCCCGGGAGCCATGGAGACAGGACAGGGGGCTTTTCCTGCTTGGCTACCCGGTCCCACCTTTCAGCCTTGGCCTGTCCCTGCCCTGTTCCCCCCAACTTCCACCCTCGGGCCCCGGGCGTCACAATCAGCTCTCACAGGACACGTTGAGGTGGACGGTCCTCGTCGTGGTCACACCGGCCCCAGGCAAGGTCACCTGGCAGGTGAGGCTGGTGCCGTGGTCCTGGGGCTGAGGGACGAGGGTGAGCACCCAGGAGCGGCCGATGGTGGGGCCCTGGGGAGCCACGGAAGCCCCCTCCCAGGAGATATTGGGGCGCGTCCCCTGCTCACAGGCCCAGGGCACAGAGCAGGTCAGGGTGCTGGGGCGGCCACACTCCAGGGTCCCCGGGAGGAGGATGTCGGGCGTGTGGGTCAGGGCTGGGGAGGAGAGGGGGACACGCAGGGTCAGGAGGGAGAGTCCAAGGTGCGGCCCTGAGAGGACTCAGGCTCTGGTCCAGCTCCTGCCCTGAGCCCAACTCGCTTCACCCCCAGTCCCTCCCAGGACGGGGTCCCAGCCCAGCCCTGCCCTGCGGCCCAACCACCTCCTCCCCTGTGGGCCAATCCTAGAGCCCACCGTTACCTGTCACATGCACAGAGAGGCTGAGAGATGTCCTCTCTTCTCTGTCCACCCAAAAACTGTGTGACCCATTGTCCCTCCTCCTGGCATCTCTGATGCTCAGGGAGCAGCTGTTCCTTCCCGGATCCCCGAGGAGGTGGCATCGGCCCTGGGTCTCCTCCTGCACTGTTTGAGTTGGGTCGTTTGTGGCCACTGGAGACTCCTTGCGTGATTGGCCCCTTCCCGGAACCAGTAGCCGTGAACAAGGTCAGAGTGGTTCCAGCCATGCGGGGGGTAGGAGAAGGAGCAGGGCACACGGACACACAGGCCCTCCTGCACCGTCACCACACTCTGCACTTGCAGCCTGTAACCTTCCCTGTCCCCTCCCTGTCCCTCCACCCCCGCCGTCCCCCAGAGCAGGGCCAGCAGCAGCAGCATGTCTGGGCGCAGGTGCCAGGGCCGCCAGGGACAGTCTGCTCCTCGGGGTTCTTCTCTCGGGAACTGAGAGCTGCAGGACTTAGAGGAGGCCCCACAGGAAGCCGGGTACGAGGTCAGAACCGTGACCCTCCTCAGAGGAGGAACTTCACACCCTGACACTGTCAGGGCCAGGACAGCCATTAGAGATCGACTATCACCACCTGCGTCCACTCCTGGGGACTCTGTGCCTCAATAGGGTGAGAGTCACCCAAGTTCCCACCCCATGGGGAGCCCAAACACATCTCCTACCTCCCTGTGAACACCTTTCCCTTCGGGGGACATTTTCTGGGAGGTGACAATGAGTCCCATGTGACCAGACCCCTGACTCTCTGACTGTGTGTGTTTGTGGGGGTCAGGGGTGAGGCTGAGGGACAGGGCCATGGAGTTTTTGCTCACGCTGACCCCTCTGCTGGGAGTCTGTGCTCAGGGACGTGGAATGAGGACAGCCAGGTGCGGAGTGACACACCACTGGGAGCCATCGGGCTCTGTTGGGAAACAGCCCCTGCCCCTGGATGTGGAGAACTTGTCCCTGCTTCGTCGGTGGGGGCTGTGGAGGAAGTGGTGGATCCTGGGAGACGGGACAGGGAATTCAGGGAATCTCCTTAAATGGATTGAGTGGCGATTTTCACAATTGTTAGAGAACATTCTAGTTCTTTGATTTTCCACATACATTTTAGAATGAATTTGCAAATTTCTACAAAAGCACTTCCTGAAAATTTGTTTGGAATTGCTTTGAATTTATGGATCAATTTAGAGAAAACTGGTATCTTAAGAATATTGTCTTCCCCTCCATGAACATTGTATATACATACATACAATATGTCCTCAATAAACACACATATACACATATATATATATTATTTGGGTCTTCATTTATCTCAGCAATGTTTTGTATATTTCAAATACAGGTCTTGCATTAATATTTACTTTAATAAATTGATTTCATGTTCATAATATTACATGAATTGTACTTTTAAAACTTATTTTATTTCTAATTGTCCTTGGCTAACATATAGATATCCAAAAGAAATTTTTAGTTTGAACCAATATGCTACCTCCTCATTCAGTCATTTATTGATTTAGTAGCTTCTTTGTGGATAACTGCAGATTTTGTCTGTACTCAATCATGTTGTCTGTGAATAAAAACAGGTTGACCTCCTCCTCTAAGATCTGAATAGCTCTAATTTCTTTTCCTGTTTTTATTGCACTAGGAAGGAGCTACATGTTTACTACAAGCGGCGACAGCAGCCACTCTGCCTTGTTTCCAATCCTAGGGGAGAAAGTTCTCAGTCTCTCAGATCAAACCGGGATATTGCAGATCCCATCCTCGGACTGTAGATGTGCCCTGCTATTTCCAGATTGCTGAGAATTTTACTCACGATTTAGTATTCCAGTTTGTAAGATGATTTTGCATATGGTTTTCCTACTTTGCTCTATTAACAGAATAAGATACATTATTTGGGGTTTTTAAAATTTTAATAGTGGAAAAAACACATAACACAGAATTTACATCTTAATTATTTTTAAGTATACAGTTCAGTAGCATTAAGTATAATTAAGTATAATAAGCATTAAGTATATTCCAAATGTTGTGCAACAGATCTCCAGAGCTTTCTTATCTTGCAAAACCGAAACTTTAGACCCACTAACTACAGTTCCCTAAGTCTTCCTGTCCCCTACTTCCTGGTAACCACTGCTGTACTTCTGTCTCTGGGAAACTGAATACTTTAGATGCCTCAAATAGGTGGAATCACACAGTGTTGGTCTTTTTGTGACTGGTATATTTCACTTAGTACAATGTCCTCAAGGTCCTGCCATTTGGTGGCATGTGTCAGAAATTCCTTTTTGAAAAGGAAGAATAGTATTTCGTGTATGAATACATGTCTTTTTGCTTATCCATTCATCTGTCCCTGGATACTTGGGTCACTTCCACTTCTTGGCTGTTGCGAATAAATCTGCCATAGACACGGGTTTGCCAGCATCTGATCAAGTCCCTGCTTTCGGTGACTTTCATGTATACCCACAAGGGCACTTGCTAAGTTACGATAATGCTATTTGTGATTTATGAGGAATTACTGGCTCACATTACCCCTTTCATTCGCCTTGTCTGTTGCCATGTTATGCCCCCGCCCTTTTTATTTGAGACAGAGTCTCACTCTGTTACCCGGGCTAGAGTGAGTGCCGTGGCGTCAGCCTAGCTCACAGCAACCTCCAACTCCTGGGCTCAAGCGATCCTCCTGCCTCAGCCTCCCGAGTAGCTGGGACTACAGGCATGCGCCACCATGCCCAGCTAATTTTTCTATATATATTTTTAGTTGGCCAATTAATTTCTTTCTATTTTATAGTAGAGCCGGGGTCTCGCTCTTGCTCAGGCTGGTTTCGAACTCCTGACCTTGAGCCATCCTCCTGCCTCGGCCTCCCAGAGTGCTAGGATTACAGGCGTAGCCACCGCACCCTGCCATGTTATGCCCTTAAGGCTCCACCTGGAGTCCCCTACTGAGCTGCAGATACTCGTGTCCAGCTGTGTCCCTGGTGTCCCCACTCTGACGCCAGGTGGACTGTCAGGACTGACCCTGCCCTGCAAAGCCCTCCCTCCGCAGCCCCTGTGGACACAGCTCCTTCCTTCCAGGAGCTCAGGGGACGACTCTGCCATCATCCGTGTCTTCCTGTCCCCATATGAGCACACCCATCAGAAACCCTGTGAGCGTGACCTTCCACATGTCCTAAAGCATGTGCTCAGCCCGGCCCCGCCCCCCTGCTGCAGCCACCGTCCCTCCCCCTGATGGCGCCTTCCCAGTCTCCCTGACCAGGGCAGCCGAGGTCCTGTCACGGTGCAAGTGTAGTCCTGTCTCTGCTGTCCCCAAAGGCTCCAGGTTCCTGGGTGTCAGCCCTGTCCTCCCCCTGCTCCTCCTCCTGCCACCTCTGCTGTCACACACGGGCCCGGAGAGTCCCCAGCACCCGGCCTGCCGGTGCCTCTGAGCACTGCGCTCGCTGTTCCCTCTTCCCTCCTCCTGCGACACTGTTCCTGACTCACACGCAGAGCCTGACTCCTCACCACCCTCACGCTGTGCCCAGACACCACCTCCTCACACCGTTACACGGAAACTGTCCCCAAAATGTCACAAGCTCCTTTGCCTCCACGATCTTTCTCCAAACACACATCACCACCCCACTGGCTCTCAGTAGACTTCTCGTTTGCCATTTGTTTTTTTCCTTTTTGCCTTCAGAATGACATCACGTTGACGAAAGAGCTATTTTTTGCTTTCTTTTATATTTCGGTAGACTATATGTGACATACGATTTGACATTCTTTACATTGTATACCGTACAATTCAGTAGCGTGAAGCACATTCCCAACACTGTGCAAACATCACCACTATTTCCAGAACTTTCTCATCATCCCAAAGGGAAACTCTGCACCAGCTGCCCGGTCCCTCCCCATCCCCACTCTGTCCCCAGCTGCTGGCCCCCATCCTAGTTTCGGTTTCCACCCACGCGCCTGTCCTAGCAGAGCAATGACACTACGTGTCCCTCTGTGTCCAGCTTCCTTCACTGAGCACATGTCCCTGCGTGCTGTGACACGCGCTAGATCTCAATCCACTCCTCTCTACGACATCAGAATGTCACAGTTTATGGATGTAGCACTTTCTGTCTCTCCATTGATCTGTCAACGGGCACTGGGCTGTCTCTGCCGTTTGGCTGCTGCAAATAACGCAGTAGCCATGAATACTGCCGCGCGCTCGGGCCGGGAGTGGATCTGGGAGTGGATCCCTGGTCACTCGGAAATTGTATGTTTAACTTCTGGAGGAAATACCAAGGGGTTTTCCACAGGATTACACCATTTTACATGCATTGCAAAAGGATTCCAATTTCTCCACAACTTTGCAAACATTTATTGTATTCTTCTTTCCTTTAAATCACAGCTATCCCAGTGGGAGTACAGTGGCATCTCATTTGTAATTTTGATTTGTATTTTCCAAATGACTATGGCGTTGACATCCTTCCATGTGCTCATCGGCTTCTTGTACCTCCTCTTTGGAAGCGCGACTGTTCAAGGCTTTGGATGTTGTTGAAGTTATATTCACCGATGTGACTCTCGCACTCTGACAGTCTTGGCACGTAGTAGGTGTTCAATAATTCCTCCTGAACGAGTCTATGAATGGCTGAAGGACTGAGTGTCCCTCTGCCACGCAAAAGCACACAAGGAACACACACTACCCTGAGTGACATTTAAGGCTGAGCCTGAAGGATGAGCAGGACGTACAGGCAGAAATGGGGAGGGAAGGGCGTTTCAGGAGGAGGAACTGCACATGCAAAGTGTCAGATCGCAGAGGACTTGGCCCAGGGGTTGTGGGGACATATTGGGAGATGCAGGGAAGGGAGGAATCAGGAGGACAGTCCGGCAGGGGACAGATCCTGCGAGGACCCAGTCCCAGCCATGGCGTTTGCACCTCGTTCTCTAGCAATGGGGGAGGCACGGCCGTCCACACTGCGCGGGGCCGGATGAGGATGTATCTGGAGGCCCAGTCTGGAGGCCTGTGCTGGGGAGAGATGGAGGCAGGGGTGGGGTGGACTCAGGGAGCAGGGAGAGGTGAGGCCACAGGAATGACCAGGGTGGAGAAAGGGCACCGGGATGAGCCGTGCTCAGGAGAAGGAGGGACAAGAGTGAGTGACACATGGATGTGGGGGAGGGGGTGAAGGTGAGGAACCTCACCCTGGATCTGCACATAGAGACTCAGCCAGCCAGTCATCAGCGGGACCGGGGTCCTGGCAGGACAAGGGGGCTTGGGGAGGAGATGGGCTGCTCAGCCTTGGCTATGCTGAGCAGAGCAATCCTGGAGGCCATCATGGAGGAAGTGTCCAGTGGAATGTGGGAGGGTGAGTTGCCAAGTCACTCACCTGAGGGATTAGCCCGTGACAGTGTCTGCATCCTCCATGGCCATTGCTGCCCAGTCCACCTTCCCCCTGCGGGACCTCACTCTGAGGGAACGGACCAGGGCCTGTCATTGGGGCAGGACCAGGGTGCAGAGGGCAGCAGCCTCACCTCCTTGGGCCCTGGCAGGGGCAGGAGGGGACTGAGGAGGAGAGAGCAGGTCTAGCCCCCAAGGCCCCCTCGATGACAGCAGGAACCTCCCTCCCTGGACACTTGTCCAGAGCTGGGAACAGACACACTGGCCGAGTGGGATCTCACCACCCGCTGCTGGCCCAGGAGTTCATCCAGCACAGGGCTGTGGGGATCAGGGTCGTGTCCCCAGCCCTCCTACCTGTCGCCTTAGTCCCTGGGGCATCGCTCACCTGAGGAAGATGAGGCAGAGGCAGAGAAGCAGGATCTTCACAGTCACAGCCCCGATGGCCACCAGAGTCACCTCTGCCACGGGCCCCGGTTTCCCCACGGCACAGTGGGATGAGCCAGCTTCACCTGGGAAACCACAGTCCCGCGTTCTTCCTCTTCCAACCCCTTGGGCGTAGGTTCCCGGGACCCCCTGCTTCCCTGGATGGGTGACACTTGCCCAGGCCTCCCCCGACACAGGTTCCCACAGTCCAGCAGCAAAAGGGTTCCACGTCCCGTGGACGTTCCGGGCCTCGAAGCTGAACCTGAGGCCGGAGCTGAGGTTCCCTGGGAGGCTCAGGGAGCTGTTGGCCCAGGGCCCGGCTGGGCTGGGGGTGTCGGAGAAGGAGCCCTGGCTGCCGGTCCCCTCCCGCAGCCCCTCCCCCAGCCACCAGCCCAGGGAGGGGGCGGGCTGGGCGCTGGAGCAGCAGCTGCAGCGCAGCCCCTCCGCCTCCCAGGAGCAGGAGGGGCCCAGCAGCTGCGGGGGGTCTGCGGGGACAAGGACCTTGCTCAGCACGGGCTTCTCCCCTCCTTATACCTTGGGGTTCTGGCCTCAGGTGCCCCCGAAATAACAGTGCACAGAGAGGCTCAGCGAGACGCGCTGGGAGCCCAGGGCATGCTGGGCGCAGCAGGTGAATTCTCCTTCGTGCTCCGTTTGGACCCGGGGCAGCTCCAGGACCCCAGGCTCTGAGGGCTGGGACGGGCTCAGGGTCTGGCTCTCCCGGGTCCAGCTCAGCCTGGCCGGGGGATTGCTCAGGGCGACACAGACTAGGCGCAGGCTTTGGCCCTCCAGGACCGGGAGGGATGTGTCATTCCCCACGGTTTGCAGGACTAGGGAAGGGAAGAGGCAGAATAGATGCCCTGCTGAGGGCACAGGGACCCTCCTGTGTGGGGACAGACATCGGTCCCCCCATTTGGCTCTGAGAAGCCTGGTCCCTCTGTCCCCGATTCCTACCCGTCCTGTTTGCTTGGGAAACCAGCACCGTCAGGTTCTCTGGAGGATCTGCACGGACACAGGGTGGCGCTCTAGACGGGCCAGGGCTTCCCTCTGGGCAAAGGGAAGGTCGCTGGAGACCCAGGTGGGGGGTGATGTGGGGTGGGAGGGGCGAAGTCACTCCCAGAGGCTCAGATGCCAATTGCCCAAGGGTAAGAAGGCCTGGTCCCATAGGCCTGGGTTCCCAGCCGCCTCAGAGCTCAGGGGCCCTGACCCACGCTGCCCCCGGCCCCTCCCCCCCAGGTCCCCAGGCCCTGCTGGTCACACTCACACTGCACGGAGAGCTCCAGGCTGCGGTTCTGGGAGCCAAGCCTGTTCTCCGCTCGGCAGGTGTAGCGCCCTGAGTCCCCAGCCCGCACCCCGGGCAGCTCCAGCTCCAGGTTTCTGGCTCCCCAGGGGTGGGACCAAGACAGGACTCTGTCCCCCAGGAGCCAGCTCAGCATGGGCGGGGGCCAGCTGTCAGCAGTGCAGAGGAGCCGCAGGAACTGGCCTTTCTGGGCTTGCACGAGTGGGACGGTGCCCTGGGGCTTCTGGGCTGGACACAGAGACAGAGACACAGACAGAGACAGAGTGACAGAGAGGCTGAGCACATCCCGCACCCTCACCCCAAAGCCTTTTCACCCAAAGAGGACTGGCCCCGCCCCAGCCCGGAGGGACCCCAGTACCTGGCCCGTTGTCCGTGGAAATGCTGACAACCAGGGCTCTGGGGGCGTCTGCAACAGGGTTGTGAGGGGGCTTCAGGGAGGGCTGCTTGTTCCCCAAAAGTGCTAACCCCTCCCTCAGGGCAAAGAAACTGTGATTTCCCGGGGAAGAGAAGTGACAAGGCAGCGCCAGAGCACCCGAGTGTAGACAGAGAGTACACGCCATTCCCATCCGCACCCCAGGGCCTAGGCCACATCCGGGACCCTCTGGCGTCCTCTCCGGACCCGCCTGAACTGGGAGCCATTCGCTGCCCCTCAGGGCTGCTCCGCCTCCCCATCCACCCGGCCTGTCCCCACACCCCACAGTCCTTGCCACACTCACAGGCCACCCTGAGTCGGACAGTCTTCTGTGTGCTCACGCCACTTCCGGGGAAGGTCACTCGGCAGGTGAGGTCGGTGTCGTGGTCCTGGCGTTTCGGGGTGAAGCTCAGCACAGAGAAGTGGGAGGTGGCGGGTCTGGATCCTCGGGAGGAGAGGGCAGCCCCCGTCCAGGAGAAAGAAGGGGCTGGACATTCCTCGGAGGCCCAGTTAAACACACAGATGGCTGTCGCTGGCTGCCCGTGCTCCAGGGTCTCCGGGATGTAGACATCTGGCTGCTGAGTCAGGGCTGGGGCAGAGAGGGGCTCCTAGTGCCCTGAGAGCCCTCCCTGCTCAGCCCCTCACCCGATCCCTGTGGGGGTCCCACCCCGTGCCATACCTGTCACTGCCAGAGAGAACGCATTCCTGAAATTATAATTTACGTCGCTTCCTCTCTCCACCCGAAAGAAGTATTTGCCCGCGTCTAACGGCCAGACATCTCTGATCAGCAGGGAGCAGCTCTGGTTCTGGGGGTTCCCGAGGAGCTGGAAGCGGCCCCGTGGACACGTTTGCACCTCTCGGTTCGGGTTGTTTGTGGCCACTGGAGCACCAGTCCTTAAGTCGGTCCCTTCTCGGAACCAGTAGCCGTAAGCTGGGGTAGAGTCTGTCCAGCCGCCCCGGGGGTGGGAGAAGGTGCAGGGCACGAAGACACACAGGCCGCTCTGCACTGAAACTGACTTCTGCACCTGAATGTCGTAACCTGGATGCTTCTGCTCGGAGCCTGGGGGAGACAGAGGCTCAGCTGCTGTCCCAGACCCCAGCTGGGCCCTCCCGGCCCCAGACCCACTCACCCGCGCCCAGCACGGGCAGCAGCAGGGACAGAAGCAGCATCCTCAGCTCCGAGGGGCTGGGCCACCCCTGGACCTCTGGCTCTGGGTGCGCCTGTCTGGGAAGGAAGCTGCTAAGAGGGTCTAGGGGAGGGGCAGTGCCCAATCACACAAGAGGAACCTCAGGAACCGCCAATGTCCTGAAAAGTCCCCTCTCCAGACTTCTCCTTTGTGAGAGGGAAGCAGCATGGCAGGGGCCCCAACCTACCCCTGGGGAAGGCTCTGGGGAGCTGGTGCCCCAGCAGGGAACCCTTGGGGGGGGGACACAAAGAGGAGCCATGGCCCAGGTAAAGTGAGAAAGACTCCCATTCATTCATGCATTCATTCATTCTCCAGGCCAACATCTGCAAACCATGCAGGGCTGGGGGCAAAGAGAAGGTGAGGAGCTAAGCCCTGCCCCCAGGGGTCTCATCTTCAAGTGCCCCCAAACCCAGGGAACCCCCCGGGCTCTCCAAAGGCACTGATCTGTCCTGCCAGTCTCAGGGCATCTCCGAGGCCCACAGCAGGCTCCCAGCTCCATGGCAAGAAGCAGGGCAGCTGCACAAGAGCAGGCGCTCAGAAGGCCTGTCCTGCCGGGCGCGGTGGCTCACGCCTGTAATCCTAGCTCTCTGGGAGGCCGAGGCGGGAGGATCGCTCGAGGTCAGGAGTTCGAAACCAGCCTGAGCAAGAGTGAGACCCCGTCTCTACTAAAAATAGAAAGAAATTAATTGGCCAACTAAAAATATATAGAAAAAATTAGCCGGGCATCGTGGCACATGCCTGTAGTCCCAGCTACTCAGGAGGCTGAGGCAGGAGGATTGCTTGAGCCCAGGAGATTGAGGTTGCTGTGAGCTAGGCTGATGCCACGGCACTCACTCTAGCCTGGGCAACAGAGTGAGACTCTGTCTCAAAAAAAAAAAAAAAAAAAAAAAAGGCCTGTCCTTTGGAGTTTAATGCTTTGATGTTTCCATCTTGAAATTCTGTTTTTTTTTTTTTTTAAAGGTAAGGAAAGAGAATTTGTTTAGCTTTGTGAGGCTTTACTTTCACAATATACATACGCTTGGCACAGGAAAGCCCTATTAAAGATTCAGAAGTTACTTAATAAGGTAAATATTTAGTTTGATTTATGAGGCTTTTCAACATTAAGTTTGAGAAAGTTAATGGTTATCAGAATTTCCATACATGATCACAATCAAAACAATAAAATAAACCAAAGAACAAACCTTACCCCCAAAACATAATAAATTGCAATTTCTAGTGAAACATTTATGCCTATGCTGTACTCATTTTTTTTTTACAAATGCCTTTCAGGAATCTTCTGCTATATTCATTTTGATTGCTTATTTTCCACTTTATACTCTTTGTTTTGAATATAGGTTACAAATAATCTTTTGTGTAATTTCCTCAGTCTTTTTTTTTTTTTTTTTTTTGAGATAGAGATTTGCTCTTTTGCCTAGACTAGAATGCAGTGACTTAATCATAGCTCACTGCAACCTCAAACTATTGGGCTCAAGCAATCCTTCTGCCTCAGCCTCCCAGATAGCTGGGACTACAGGCACACCACCATGACCATCTAATTTTTTTAATTTTTTGTAGAGATGGGGTCTCGCTATGTTTCTCAGGCTGGTGTCAAACTTCTGGCCTCAAGTGATCCACGTGCCTCAGCCTCCCAAAGTGCTAGGATTATAGGCGTTAACCATAGTGCCTGGCCTCCTCAGTCTTAATACCTTGGGCACCTGTTTTACCTTGGCTATATTTTTATCATTTAGAGTAGGATATACTTATTAAGCCAGTTATACTCCAGTAAACTTGCGAATGAAAAAATGTTAGAGAATTAAGAACAAGTAATGGAGTCATTATTTCACTGATCTTTATCCAATGTCAGGAAAATCATGTCCCTAAAACAGCAATTCTACCTGATAAATTCTTTACATGTCTAAACAGAAACAGCAAGAAAAGTGAACTTATGGGAAGCCTATTATACTTTACTAGACCTTGTGTGCTTTTAATAGTTCAACACTGGTAAGATTTGATGATCAAGAGTAAATAGGCTAACATTTAAAAATGCATACTTTAATAAGTATAAAGTATATAAACAATTAATTAGGTAAGCTTGTGGAGAAGCTGACCAAGAAACATAAATTAGGAGATACAAGTGTCCATTTAAATTTTCTATATCTAATTTTTTTACAGAATATTTATTAAAGTTGCTTAATATACAATTTCTCATTTTTCATTTTAGAAGTCATTTATTGTAAAGTAATTCTTCTGTCTGATGACAAACAGCAGCCATGGTGATTACTCTGGACCTCCATGTTGGATAAATTCAATTTCTTCTTGAGACACAAGTTTCCTTCTATATTTCTGAGGCAATGTTTTTATTATTTCTGCAGTGTCTGGTGGACCCTGATCCATCAGCAAATGTGGTAATTTACTTCCCCTAGAATGATGGGAAATTGCAGAAGAGTGAGATGGTAACCCTGCTGATCTCAAAGCTTCTGATACATTGGGTTTAGGATTGTCTCTTCTGTTAGGAAATCTTATTAATGGAGTGTGTGGCTTGACCACCTGGACAACCCTGCTGGCAGACGCCATCTTGCTGCCCATCATGACCCCCTCCATCTTGAAATTCTTAATATTATCTTTTTTTTTTTTCCAAGATGAGGTCTTGCTATGTTTCCCAGGCTACAGTCCACTGACATGATCACAGCTCATTGCAGCCTCAAACTCTGGACTCAAATGAACCTCCTGGCTCAGCCTCCCGAGTAACTAGGACTACAGGCTTGGGCCATACTGGCTAATTTTTTTTTCTTGGTAGAGACAGGGGCTCACTATGTTGTTCAAGCTGGTCTAGAACTCAGGGCCTCAAGCCATCCTCCCTCCTCGACCTCCCAAATGGCTGGGATTATAGGCATGATCCACCAAGGTCTTTGTTATCTTTGAATTGGGTTTTGCGGTGCTATGCTATGTACGATAGTGGTTGTCATCCATGGTTCCTGGCCCATGGATGACCGTAGCAGCCCTTGCTACGGTCATTATAATGTCAATGTGTTGGGCCTCAGGAAACTGACTAATCTTCTCCCATTTTTCTGATTGTGGGTCAGAAGATGGTCATTCCAGAGAGAGTTCTGCCCCATACCCATACCTTCAAGGTATGAAGGCTAATGACATTTCCACACAGTTGAACATAAAAACCCAGGATGGGCCGGGTGTGGTGGCTCACGCCTGTAATCTTAGCACTCTGGGAGGCCAAGGCGGGAGGATCGCCTGAGTTCAGGAGTTCGAGACCAGCCTGGGCAACAGAGTGAGACTCTGTCTCAAAAAAATAAAAGTGTTCAGCATCACTAATCATCAGGGAAATGCAAATCAAAACCACAATGCGACATCATCTTACCCCAGTTAGAATGGCTATCATCAAAAAGACAAGAAATAGCATATACTAGCAAGGATGTGGAGAAAAGGGAACTCTTCTACACTGTCAGTAAAAATATAAATTCAAATAGGCATTATGCAAAACAGTATGGAAATTTCTCAAAAAACTAAAACTAGAACTACCATAACATCTAGCAATCCCACTACTGGGTATTTATCTAAAAGAATGGAAATCAGTGTATCAAAGGGATATCTTCACCCCCATGTTTGGTACAGCACGATTCACAATAGCCAAGATATGGAATCAGTGTAAGTGTCCATCAACAGAGAAATGGCTAAAGAAAATCTGATCTATATACACAATGGAATACTATTTGGCCATAAAAAAAAGAATGAAATCCTGTCATTTGCAGCAACATGGAGGTCATTATATTAAGCAAAACAAGCCATGCACAGAAAGAAAAATACTGCATATTCTCACTTATATGTGGAATCTACAAAAGTTCATGTTGGCCGAGCTCAGTGGTTCAAATCTGTAATCCCAGCACTCTGGGAGGCCAAGGCAGGAGGATCGCCTGAGTTCAGGAGTTCGAGACCAGCCTGAGCAAGAGCGAGACCCTGTCTCTACTAAAAATAGCACGCACCACCACGCCTGGCTAATTATTTTTAAGAGACAGGGTCTGGCTATGTCGCCCAGTCTGGTCTCCAGCTTCTGGTCTCAAGTGACCCTGCTGCTTCAACCTCCCTAGTCCCTGGGATTACAGGCCTGTGCCTCCATGCCCAGCTAGTTTTTGACCTCTAATATACAGCGTGGTGATGACAGTTAATAATAATGTATTATATATTTCAAAATTCCTAAAAGAGTAGATTTTAAATATTCTCACCACAAAAATATGATAAGTACGTGAAGTGACAGATATGTTAATTAGCCCTATTTACTCATTCTACAATATATATCTATATCAAAACATGAAAATGTACTCCATAAATACATATGATTTTTATCAGTTAAAAATAAAATGAAAAAATTATAGTAAAATATACATAAAATAAAATTAACCATTTTAAAGCATAACAGTCATTGGCACTGGGTACATTCACATTGTTGTGCAACCATCACCTCCCTCCAGCTCCAGAATTTTTCTGGAAACCATATACCCATTAAACAGTCACTTCCCATTCTCCCCTCCCCCCCAGATCTTCTTACCCCGGCAACCACTGATCTACTTCCTGTCTCTATAAATTTGCCTCTTCTGGATATTCCATGTGAAAGGATCCTGCAACATTGTCTGGCTCTTGTCACTTAGTATAATGTCACTTAGTATAATGTTTCCAGGTCCACCCATGTTGTAGCGGGTCTCAGTGCTTCCTTGCTTTCCATAGTGGAATACTTTCCATTGTATGGACACACCCCATTTTGTCCAGGGTATTTTTTATTTGCTAGTGAATATCCAGTCCCTGAGCCTCTGGGACACTGGCAGTTGGGCAGTGAGGATCCTCAAGATTCTTGGGGTCCCGTCCCTTCGACTCAGCACAACCCAGATCCTCTCAGTGCCCAGGAAGGTTAAAGGAGGTGGCCTGGGGCCAAGAACCTGTATGGGAGGTTGATGAAACAGGCAGGTGACAAGGCGAGATTGTGTGATTCCAGGTCCACACCCCACCAGTGTGGGTTCCATGATCCCTGTTGACCTCACTTA